GCAATTGCCAAGTTATAATTCTATAAAGGAAATGGCCATGAAAACATACCAGAAGAAACCTTACCTTACCTGAAGAAGATTCCAGCCAGAGAAGATAACTCTAAGAAAGATTTTGAAAAGGATATTATTAAAAAAGTAAAAAGGTACAGGAATGGCAGCGACAGAGAAGATTTCCAGGCATAGGGACAGAATGTGGAAAGAAACAGATAGAAGAAAGCATATTCCCAAGAACCAATATGAATGGAGCTGAGAAAAAGTAAATCAATGTGAGATGAAGCTAGAGCTGGCAGGTCCAACTCACATCATAAGGTCTGGGGAAGACTTTAAAGGGTCTCACTCAGGCCACAGTTCTTACCTGTCAAATTCTAAGTTAAGCAACAAATTCTTAAATATTTGCACTGAAGATATGACGCTGGTTCTGCACATTACTTGCCACATGGGGTCCCTGCTCTCCAACTATTCACATTCTGAGAAGATCCAGTGAACAACTTTTCTTCTCTATCTACTCTCAGAGTCAGGAGATAAGATGGCATAATTAGCAAAGAATGCAATGATACCTTTGTTTCTTTCATGATTGCTATTTATTACTTGTATAAAGGGGTTTCATTATGAGATTTTCATTCATGAATACAATGTATTCATACCTCGATTCTTCTCTCTGTGTTATTCCTTTCCCTTTTCCCTTCTTTAGTGTTGCCTTTCCTTTTCCCAAACCTTGCATTTGTTTTTGTTTTCTGGCCCACTTCCATAAATGAGAGGAAATATGTAATATTTGTCTTATTGAGACTGGCTTATTTTACTTAACATGATGATCTCCAGTTCCATCCACTTGCCTGAAAATACATAATTTCATTCTTCTCAATGGCTGAGTAAAACTCTATTGGGCATACTTACCACATTTTCATTATCTATTCATCCATAGATGCATATCTACACTGATTTCATAATTTGCCTGTTGTACTGTGAGTAGTGCTGCAATAAACATGAACATATAAGTATCTCTACAGTAATCTGATCAATAAATAAGTAAATGAACTGAACAGACATTTTCAAATGAAAAAGTACAAATGGGCTATATATGCATTAAAAATTTAACATCCTAAGCTATCAAGAAAACACAAATCAAGACTATATTGAGAATCCATCTCATCCCAGTCAGAATGGCCATTATCAAGAAAAAAAATGACAACAAATCCTGTTGAAGATGAGGGAGAAAAAAGAACCCTTATGCACTGCAGATAGGCCTATAAATTAGTATAGCTATGACTGATAGGAATATAAGAAATAAGTATAGAGATTCTTCACACACAAAATGAGAAAAATAAAACTTTAAAATAGAACTGCCAGGGCTGGGAAGGTGGCTCAGTGGTAGAGTGCTTGCCTTGCATGCATAAGCCCTGAGCTCAATTCTTCAGCACCACATAAGCAGAAAAAGCTGGAATTGACGCTGTGGCTCAAGTGGTGGAGCGCTAGCCTTGCACTGAAGAGCTGAGGGACAGTGCCCAGGCCCAGAGTTCAGGCCCCGACACACACACACACACACACACACACACACACACACTAGAACTGCCATGCAATTTAGGCATACCCCTCCTGGGCATCTATTTAAAAGAACCAAAGCCATTCTTATTTCTGCTGAAGTTGAGGTACAAGATGTGCTTATTCTAAGGAGCCAAGAAAGAATTGCCAGCATCCCTCTGCCCAATTCAGGCCTGAGACTAAAACCGAGGCCCGAGTTTACAAATATCACACCTGCTTAAGTTCTTGATTTCCTCTGGATCTGGTGGACAAGGAATGTGGGAGGGAACTATATAGATAAGCTTTGCTTAATTCAGAAACATAGGATAAATGCTTCTGTGCAGCAGCTTGGTCCCTGATCCTATCTCTCAAGGGAGGAAAACATTTGGACAAGAATCCAGCAGAATCTGGGGAAGAAGAATTAGCACACTTCCCTTACTACTGCTGAGAACTGTTTTGAGAGCTACAACATGGATGGATCAATGGCACTGCATCTTATAAGAGGTGTATAATATTGAAAAGCAAACTCCAGTCCTCCAAGTGTGTGACTCTTTTTCATCCATAGGAGTGCAATTTTATGGTTGTTTCTTCTTCCCAATTTCCTAATGTGACAGATATTGACAATATCTCAGTCAGCCGTGTAAATTCTACAGTCATAAGAATGTTAGTGCCAGAAAGGATCTCACAGGTCATAAAATCTAATCCCAGTCATCATCATCATCATCACCACCACCACCATCATCATTGAAAACAGGAGACTCGAAAATATCAAGCTACTTATTCAAGAATATAGAAATGCTTGTGTGTCTCTCTCAACCATTGAGATTCTATGAGCAATGATAATTCCAACTCAATCAAGTTGATACATCAGAGAAACTCTTAGTTTATAGAAAATATGTGATGCTTTATAAGAAACAGCGATAGGATTTTGTAAAGCCAAAGTCATCCTTTTATCTGCTCATAAAAATTATATTTTGTTTATCTTTTTTTTCTTATAACGAGATAACCTCCAAATCTGGTTTGTATTCAAACTGTGGCTTGACTATTCTGGATTCTGATAAATGTCTCCTTTTTAATGTTTCTTTTTCTTAATTAACAAAGTGTCAAGTAGAAAGAGATAAGTTAGGCACTTTAATTACAGTAACCTCAGGCTACTGGGAGACTTCTTATCAATGGCTTGAGCTTGCACATTCTGTGCTCACTTTAAAAAAAAGTGTTGGTGAAAACTTCATGTGAGTGATGAATTTGAAGTCTGGGTTGCTGGGCTGTCTCCTCACAACACTTTGGGGAATGGCTATTAACCTGGATCACTAGGAAGCATAGGGAGTTTGGGATGCTGCAGAGGGATCCTGGAGCTGGTAAGATCTTTATCAGCCCTGCTTATTGATTTGTGCTCAATCCCTAGAGCTAGTTAAAGAGAGGTAGGGGAGGGAGGGTGGAAAGAAAGTAAATTGAAAGAGAGACAGACAGACAGACAGACAGAGTGGTATTCAAAGTGGTAGATCAATTTGGCCATAATTTGACTTATAAAAAAGAAGTTTGAAACACAATTTGGAATCAGATTATTAATAGTATATGTGAAAAGAGAGACCAATGATATACAGATATAGATAATAGATATTTTGCCTTGTTATATATCTATATCTATCTATATCTAGCCCTGTCATTTACTTATTACCTGCATGTCTTTAAACATGTTATTTCATTTCTCTATTTGGCAAAATGAGTAAAAATAACAATGTCATAGGATTGTGTGAGGATTAATAGAATCAATGGATAGTGTTCTACTACAGATGACTGGGATTTGAGCAAATGGAAAAACCCTGGATCTAAGATAGGATGGATCAGTATATATTTTTATTGCTTACCCTCTTTTGTTGTTGTTGTGTTGTTGTTGGTCGTGGGGCTTGAACTCAAGGTCTGGGCACTGTCCCTGAGCTCTTCAGCTCAAGGCAAGAGCTCTACCACTTCAGCCACAGTGCCACTTCTGGTTTTCTGGTGGTTTATTGGAGATAGGAGTCTCACAGACTTTCCTTCCCCAGGCTGGCTTTGAATCATGATCCTCAGATCTCAGGCTCCTGAGTAGCTAGGATTACAGGTGTGAGTCATCAGCACCCAACCTGCTTACTCTCTCTGAGCTTCAGTTTATTTATGTGCAAAATGGAATTAACCACACTTATGCTGAAGGAATACTTAAAGGTTTAGAAATAGATTAAATGTTTAGTAATGCTTGGGAAGTATGAGAGAGGCAGTAGATTTCAATAAAAATGATAATGGAGAAAGAGGAAAGGAAAGAGAAGTTTTTTGTTTTGTTTTGTTTTTGTCGGTCATGGGGCCTGAACTCTGGGCCTGGCACTGTCCCTCAACTCTTCAGCTCAAGGCTAGCACTCTACTACTTGCCCCATAGCTCCACTTCCAATTTTTTTCTGTTTATGTGGTGCTGAGAAATCGAACCCAGGGCCTCATGCATGCAGGGCAAGTGCTCTACCACTGAGCCACCTTCCCAGCCCGGAAAGAGAAATTTTTGTAATGAAGATGATTGTATTCTTGACCAAGGAGTCTAGAATGTTTCTTGTAGGTAGTAGGGGCATACTGAAGGTTATTTTTTCAGATAGGTATTATGAAATGAAGATAAGAAAATCACAACTTTGATGTGAATATGTTCAAGAATATCAAGATGTGCACAAAGCAAAGGAAAACACCCTGGAGGTAGGGAAACCTACCTAAAAGTAAAAATCAGTTTTCACACACACACACACACACACACACACACACACACACTACATAATTCCTTTACTACCAAATGCAGTCTTTTCTGTGAAAGCCAACAATTATGAATATCTGACATGTAGAAACGCAGAGTTAAGAAAGGACAAAGAGAAGAAAGAAGCAGGAAGATAGATAAAACAGATACAGAGTTTGTGTTTTTCTTACTAATGTGTGTGAAGACATCTGGCCCACAGCTGGGCCGTAGGCAGATGGCTAGAGAAAACATGTACACATGTAGAAACTGGCATCTGAAGGCTTGAATTTTTCAGCTGATGGGAGCACTATTTTAAATAGAGCAGTGAAGTACTGTGGAGAGGGTGAGACATCGCTTCCTCTGCTAACCCACCTCCGCCAAGAGAAGGTGGTGGTCATACCTATTTACACAAAATGCATGTGTGGGAGAGCCCCCACTGCTTCTATTCTTGGTAATCTCAGTTTTGTGAGGGAGTTTGTTTGTTTTGTTTTGTTTTGTTTCTTGTTTCTTAGATAGGGGTCTCCTGTGAACTTTGCCAATCTGTGTAAAATGACAGCTCTTTCTGCTATGAACAAGCATTTCTTAATTACTTTCGAGAGGACGCGTTTTTTTCCTGGTCACGGATGCTTCCTCTTCTCAGTTGAATTTCTTGGATGCTTTCAATACATCCTGACCTATTCATCAAGCTCTGTGATGAAGGTGTAAGTTAATGGACACTGTGCTGGCTTTCTTTGTGAAGGTCGCAAAGAGGCAGGAAGTGGCCACTATGGACCTCATTATATCACTGACATGGAAACCAGTGAAGATGATGATGGATTTGAAGATGACCTAGATTTGGATATTTCCTTTGAGGAGGTAACAAGACTTTTTGCTCTCAAACACAGGGTTCTTGTATTTTATTTGTTGACTAGGGCAGTTAATCTGTAGTCTATCAACATTTTTACTTAACACATAAATTGGCCCATTTGCTCTTCACACATAATTGTTAATAGTAAGGATGCAGTAGCCAGTCTGATATTCTAGAACTAATGCTGCCTACACTTGACAGTTGGGTAGAAGCCAGATGCAGATTTCCCATCCATGCATTTTATATTCTCCAGTGTTATAAGGATGAGTGGCTCCTTGACAAAGCAATGCAACTTTGGATCATTGCCTTTGCATCCAATGCATCCTGTGAGAATAAGTCAAAACACATTATATTTATAAGCTGCTTTGTTGAAAGACAACTCCTTCCTACAACTAATTAAAGATAATGAAACAAAAACACACACAAAGCAGTCTAGTTACTATGTTCTGTGCTTATGCTCAACCCTTTTCCTCTCTGCCTTCAGGTCAAACCACTTCCCGCCACCAAAGGAGGGAATAAGAAATTCTTGGTGGAAACCACGATGACATCACTATCTAACCCAAAGACCTTTTCCCAGCTCGCTCCACCCACCTCGGCCTCCCTCCCAGCCACGGTGACAGTGGCTGTCCAGCCTACTCCTGCGGAGCGGAAGGGGAAGACCAGTGTGGCAATGATGTCCAGGCTCTTTGACATGTCTTGTGATGAAACGCTGTGCTCTGCCGACAGCTTCTGTGCTAATGACTACACCTGGGGTGGCTCTCGGTGCCATTGCAACCTGGGCAAAGGTGGCGAGGGCTGCTCTGAAGGTAAGCACTGCAAAGAGAGGAAGAACACGGTGATGGGCTGCCCAGGCTGAGGGTCAGAGAGAAGTTTGGGAGTGTAAACAGTTCTCTTCTAATCCCTTTTGTAGGATAAACCCTTTGCTCCATATCCTAGTCATTAAATAAGTTATACAGGGCCAAGTGAGAAGCAGATCCTATTGCTTCTAATCTGAGAGCAAGCCCCATTTTTATGAGTGGTCTTTTGGAGCAGCAATCATTAAATCATCAACACAGCACCCACCAAGGTGGTCTCTATTGATATCACATTTCTATCAAAAAGATGGACAGAAGGGTTCAAAAGGATCATATTTGGGCCAACTCACATTAAAAAAAAATGTACTACTGGAAAATGAATGACTATGTTCTTCAAGATACTGATTTCTTTTTAGAGAATGAAGTTCCAATCTCCAAATTTCCTGTTTCTTCCATAGATTTTTGGAAGCTCCAAGTCCCCAACTCTGAGACTAGCTTTGGAAGCTCCAAGTCCCCAACTCTGAGACTAGCAGGTGTGAGAGCAGAGACAGAGAACTAATAGAAAAGGTTCTCACTGTGCAACACACAGGCAATGCTATGTATTGACTTTTGCCTTTGAAGACATGAGGAAACCACTTTCTTGTCTGTCATCCTTTTTCTTTTCAGATATTGTTATACAGTATCCTCAATTTTTTGGCCATTCCTATGTAAGCTTTGAGCCGTTGAAGAACTCCTATCAGGCATTTCAAATTACTCTGGAATTCAGGGTAAGAAGGATTAGTCATTTGAAGAGTGTTGATTGGACATCCCCACACATCAAAAGGGAAGGGAGGAGAGAGGAGGCAGAGGAAGTGATCCAAGATATAATATGACACTGCGCCTGTCTTCCAAGCCATTCACAAGATCCAGCAGGGATGGTGGGCACAGATGTAGCAATCATGTCACAGTGAGAGGCGGGTGGGTTGTAGAGGTGAGAAACTGTGGAAGGACTTTTTCAAAGGTTCCTCGTAAGAACACTGGAGCATCAGCAATATTGCTCTGAAATCCCCCCACGCTGGGATTTCAGAATAAATATGTTCCCCATTGCAAAATCCCCTCTACAGAGACCCCAATGTCTCACTTCACTGTGATGTCTGTAACCGAGCCTTGAGACAACTGTACTCTGTACACCGCCAGCACATGGTGAGAGCCCAGAAGAGGCTCTGGGGTCTGAATTAAATGTAGATTCAAAATTCAGCCCATGACTTCAGCTTAACATCATTCATTCAGTATTACCCCCAAAGCAGTAGGTTTGGAGAAACAAGATGCCCCTATGATCAGACTTGAGTATCCAAATGATGAGTTCTCCTCATCTTTGAAAGTCAGGGTAATCATCCGTGAGGCAGTTTGAAAGGTCCTAATAAAAAGAAAGAAGCAAATGTGCATGCTTCCTAGAGGGAAGGAAGAATAGAAAGAATAAGTAGAATAGCATTACTTGGCTTATGCAACTGTAACCCTTTTGTACATCACCTTTACAATAACAATTTTAAAAAAGAATAAGTAGAATGAGCAGAAGGTTGTTTGTGGACAATAGAAATCCATGCACACAAACTGCATGCCCTCTGTGACCATCAGCTCTGCATAGCTCTTGGGATGCTCTGTGGGTGAGTGTCATCAAGCAGGCCAGAGATGGACTCCTTCCTCTCACTTCACTGCTGTTCCTCACATACTGCTTGTATTTTAATGAAAATAAGCTAGGACTGGGAACCTAGGAATTAATTGGAGTCCTGATGTTTCCAGATGGTGCTTTGTGGAAGAAGAGGTGGTCATTGTTCATGTGGCTTTTGTTTGTGTACTGACAGGCAGAGGCAGAGGATGGCTTGCTGCTTTACTGTGGAGAGAATGAGCACGGGAGGGGGGATTTCATGTCCTTGGCAATCATCCGACGTACCCTCCAGTTCAGGTAACTCCTGCCCAAAGCCCTGTACATTTAAAAAAATGCATTATATTGGTGTTCTGTTGTGTGAATGCAACATAAACAGAGGGATTCTAGTAGCCAAATGAATGATGTGAAGAAGATGGGTATGGACCAGTTTCCTAGATGCTGGTATGTCCCATTGAAGGGTGACCTTGGAAAGTTGAGTTTGGGACCCTGATCCCCATTCACTTGCTTAATAGCAAATAGGTCTGGCATACCCAGGCACAGTGGGGATACAGCTGTGGGCCAGAGGTCAACTCTCCTTTTCTTCAGAAGCTCAAGCACATGTGATGGGAAGAAAGTTGGAATCTCCTCCTAGGTTTCTTGGCCACAGATAAGACTGGTGAATAGGCTCAAAGCCTGTACTTACTTCCTCAGGAGTTTGTGATGGGCCCATTGGGTTTTCTTTTCTGCCAGGATTGTATTTCCCCCAGCACATTGTGGAAGCTACCATTAGTTACTCTGTGATCTTCTAGGGGGCAGCGTTAGGAAGAGCATGAGCAGCACACACAGCACCTATTTGTGAATAAGCAATGGGCGTTGGCCTTGACCTTCTTTATGGTGCACTGGCTAAGGTCCTGACGGTGCCCTTTCCCTTCTGCCTGATTTTTAGCAAATGGTTTAATCTCTCCAAACGCCCTTCATCATAGCCATAGGACAGGGGCTGACTGAGTTCATCCATACATTTATTTGGAGCAGGGCCTGCTCCAAAGCATGCGTTCCATATGCATCAACTGTTATGATCTCCTTAGATTATTTCAGCATAGAAGTACTGTAGCTTGTTGGAGAATTTATAGCTTCCCAATCAGAGTAGAAAATGGGTCTCTTGAATGAATATTTGGTTCCTGGAAGTTTGATGGTGCCATCAGCAAAACTGGGGCAGTGGATCTAACATCCTGGGGCTCTAGCACTTGATGTGTGGGGCAGATGCTCGGTAGCACTGTAGTATCAGCTGGTTGCAGCTCTTCTGCTCTTTTACTGAGTGATGCCGACATGCACCTCTATAAAGCCTGGCCTTCCATCCCACTTTAGTGAGGGTCATGAGACACAGGAAGGCCATGAGCAGTGGGTGGCAGGTGATGCAGGGCCTCACACAGACCACACCCATTATGCCTTCTTCACAGGAAACTCTCTCAAGGGCCGTGTGGAAATGGCATCATGGCAATTTAGAAAGTGATAAGAAAGGACAAAATTTCTATCTGTTGGATGTAGTGTCTACTGGGCACTGTGGGCCATGAGGACGTTGGGAATAAAACCCCAAACACAGCCTATTGCAGCCACCTAAGCATGGTCCTCCTCTGCCTGCCCACACCCTGTCCCTGAGCCAGAGCCTCCCGTGGAACCCCACCTACATGAGGGCCCAGCAGAGCACAGATGGCAGTCCTGGACTGCTTGCCAAAATGAGTGTGAAGACTCATTTTTACAATTTAGTAATATCATAGATTCTGAGTAGAGAGAATCCCCAGAGAAATCCCCAGAAGCAGAGTTCTTGCACCTTGAATCTAGCTTGAATTCTTTGCACCTCGAATCTATTTTAAGCATCTGGCAACTCTGGAAAAGAGACAGAAGGCCTTTCAGCCCGCCATCTTCTGAGTACCAGAAACAAGGAGGCTATGAAGGTCCTACACTGAGAAGCTCCATGGCAGGTTAGGGATTAGTAGACTGACAGCATTCCAGGGAAATGTCTGCCTCTTCTGAGTATGGCATTAAACAGTTCTTGATATCTCCAGACAAAATGCTGAACATATGGATTCTAAAAGGAGCCATTGTTCATAGTGTCTAAAAGCATAACGAACTGCTTGGTTCTAGAATCTTCCTTCCCTTTTCCTCTTCCACAGGTTTAATTGTGGAACTGGAGTTGCCATCATCCTAAGCGAGAGCAAAATCAAACTGGGAGCATGGCATACCGTCACACTCTACAGAGATGGCCTGAATGGACTGCTGCAGCTGAACAATGGCACTCCCTCCACAGGCCAGTCCCAGGTGAGGGTGAGCTCACCCCAACCACCACCCAACTTTAGGATCCTCAGAGGGCTCGCTGCTGACAGCTGAGGCAGAATGGATGCAAATTCTGGATGGGCAGATTCCGGGAGGACTATCTCTCCTAGTGGCTCCACGCAACTGATTTCCAGTGGCTTCCTGCTTGGTCTTGCTCCTCAAGCTTTCAGGCATACATTCACTCCACTCCTACTGGAGACCTTAATGCACAAGCACACACCAGCTATGCACCAAACATGTTCTTTCCACAAGAGCACCAAAGCCAGGGGTTGAGAAAGGCAGATACTGACAGGATGGAGCTCATCCTTAGCATCAGACACAAAGTTTGTTTTTAATGTAGGAATGTCACAATACTGTGGCTTTACCAAATAGTTCCAGAAGACATCCAGGAATACACAGTGCATCACCTTACTGGGAGGCCAGCATTGCAGGAAATGGTAAAATAATTTCACTTTTGAGCCACCAATCACTGAGGTATTCACATATTTGTTATGTTCCTGGTAATTGGAGGACTGTGTTTAGAACCAACAGTTTGAATTAGTAACCTGCTGAGGAACCAAGCCTGTAATTATAATCAAGCAGGTATCTGTATTCTCTGAGGAAAAATGTAGCAAGAAATCCTTTGCGTATATATCTAACTTTCTCCCTGCCTGTACTCTTCACTACTCTGTTAGCCAGATATGTTAAAGCTATCTATGCCTCTGTGACTGACAGACATACAGAATTCTTTTGGGTTCAGTGGTTTCAAAGGAACAAAGATCCCAATCTACTACATGTTAATCCAAGGAAATTGTTTAGCCAGGGATAAAATTGCCAGGGATAAAAAGGACAGGGTGACTTAAACCCCAGTCCATAATATTAACGTGAGAAAATGAAGCTTGATAGAAATAAAGAAACTTCAAACTTAGGTACAAAATATTAAACCTGAACAGGATGGAGAACAACCCATATGAAAATGTCTTATGGTTTAAAGGAATGAAATTCAATAAATGCAAAGAAATGGCTGCGTGTTAACAATAAGCTCAAGAAAGCATAGGCTGCATTAGCAAAGGAATAGCATCTAGAAAAGGGGAGATTGCAATATTTTTCTAGTCCAAGGATGCTAATGGTGACTCTTGTCCTCTAAAACTATTGTATTCATATCTGTGATGAGTTTCTAAGTGGGTCGCAGGCAAATTAGAGCAAGTTCAAGGGAGGGGCAGTCACCCAAACAGGAAGATGACTTGAAATCCCTTCAATGACTGATTGTAGAAGCATTGTGTAGTTTGGAGCAGGCAAGAGGAGGGTGTGAGTTGTGACTTTTCATTAGAGTCAAAAGAGAAGCCTTGCGGAGGAAGAATTTATACTCTGGGCCAAGAAGGCTGAAGCAAAATGGGAGGACTTGGGAGACTGTATTTAGCTTCACCAAGCCACACAAAGTTAAACAGAGGTGTGGCAAACCATCTCAGGATAGTTCCTTGTCCATGGGGTCTTCAAAAAGTCATTCACCTAAACCATTGATAAAGATGAACAAGAAGGTGGAGGAGGGAAGGGATAGTAGGAGAAAAGCAATGGAGGGGGTAACAATGCTTGACAAGAAATGTACTCATTACCTTACTCGTGTAACTGTAACCCTCCTGTACACCATCTTTACAGTAAAATAAATTAAAAAAAAAGATGTACAAGAAATCCAGCAACCCATGGGAGTTAGAAGAATGAGATTAGAAGGATTTCATCTTTTTTGTTTCCATCCCAATATTTCACAGCATTTTTTTAGGTATGAGAATGAATGATAAGAATCAGGGAATATTACTGGTACTCAGGGTGAACTTTGCCTCTGGGACCTGCTGAGAAAGTCAGATAGGCAGAACCACAGATGCGTAAGGCTTAATAAACTGCCTTGAGACACAGTCCTTCCATATGAAAGTGGTTCCCTGGAAACAGGCATAAAGTAAGGAGTGTACTTAGAAAGTGCTTTCTGAGAAACTGGGAAGAGGAAGAAGTTGGGTAAAGAAAAGAGCGAGATCACAGAAACAATTCTTCAGAATATGGCTTCAGTCTGATTCCACAGGGAAGTTGTGGAATATCAGTTATATATTAGAGTTATCTCAAACTGCTAAGGGCTGTCCTGGGAGAATACATCCTCTAGGGAACTTCTGTTTCTCTACATAGACAGGCAAATCAGCTCTGGGACCGGAAGGTAATTCATAAGAGAAAGGGAAAAGGTCAGATTCAAAGGTCCTTCTCCCCTGCCCCTAATACACTTAGAAATGCTCTAGAAAGGAATTGAACTCCAAACCTCTTGTTGTAGATCAGGGACAAGACCAGAAGGGTGAGGATGAAATCCAGAAGTAAATTCTGAGACTCTTGATAAAATAAACCAAAAAGCCTTTAATTGATCTAATGAAAGCAGATGTTTAGTGGCTGGCAAATGACAAATCCTTACAAACCCTGTCAAAAACTGCACCACTCAAGCTACCACTGGCAAATGTTAACTATCTGCTCATTTAAAAACATAAAACAATAGAGGTTTCTACTTGTTGGAAACACTTGCTTAAAGGATGCAGATTATATTTCAGTGGCTCACATTTTCTAAGTTCTGGCAGCATGCTTTCCCCCAACTCGCATTTTTAATTCTTTAATCTGAATGAATAAGGTACATCTGGAATAAAAATAAATTAGAGCGTCCAAGTATGTCTTAATTTCCTTTTACCTAATCTTCAGCCCTGTAATTTTGTCACCTCAGGCCTGTAATCCAGACTGTGGATTAGTCTAAGATTGGAAATTCTCCTACCTCCGTATATTACCAATTTTTTTAAAGCCTTATCTATAAGCAAGTTTGGAAATCTTTTGCAACACAATCTGTTGGGCAATGATCTTTGAAGCACACGACCCTGTAGCACAGTGTATGAAGGTAACTCTGGGAATAAAAGGCTCCTGTTTAGCCTCATACACCTCACAAAATTAGTATTTCCATCTTGGGGGAGGGGGTCACAGAGCAGCCCTTGGCCTATCCAAGGTACACAATTAATTGGTGTCAGGACTGGAAAGAGAAAGATTGTTTTTGGATCCCAGCACAATCCAGTGCCTGCTGGGTTGGTCTTGGCTTTGACCTTCTTCCTCCCTTTCCAGGCATTCCATGTCCTTCCAGAAGTCTAGTCCTCAGCAGGTCACCAAGTTCTCTCTGTGGGAGCTTAGGGCTCATTTTCTAGGAGGTTTGTGTAAACACGAAGGAAAGAACCCCTGCAGCTATAAACTGCTTTGTCCCACAACAAATTTGGTTGTATTTGGCTTTTGGGTTCATTAGTGAGACAAAAACGTTCCTCTTTCTTAAAGGGCCAATACAGTAAAATTACCTTCCGGACACCTCTCTACCTTGGTGGGGCTCCCAGTGCTTACTGGCTGGTGAGAGCAACAGGAACAAACCGTGGCTTTCAAGGCTGTGTGCAGTCACTTGCTGTTAATGGGAAGAGGATTGACATGAGGCCCTGGCCACAGGGCAAAGCCCTCAGTGGGGCTGATGTGGGTAAGTAGCTGCTCAGGGGCTTTGTGGGGTTTGTGGGGCTGCCTTTTGGGCCAGGGTGAGCAGAAATCCAGCTACCGTCTTGAGGAGATGGGTAATGCAGAAGGGAGGTGGGTCCAAGTTGGTGCTCTGCAGACATGTATATTAAAGTCCAAACACCAAAATATGGTACATCGCTGACAGTAATTCTAAAGATGGTTAATCATTAGAATTCTGGGCCTGTGACACTGTGCCAGCGATTTGGCAATGGAGTACTAGATACTATGTGGGCTAAACACCAGAAATGTATTTTCTTAGGGTCAAGGTCAAGATTTCTCCTGAGGCCTTTCTCATGGCATGTTGATGGCTGGCTGCCTTCTCTCCGTGTCCTCCAAGGTCTTTCCTGTGTGTGTGCAGACCCCTGAGTGTTTCTAGATCTAAACTCCCTCTTTTACCAAGGATATCAGTAGGAGGGGGTTTGAGCCCTACACTTGTAACTTCAATTGCCTCTTTAAAGACTCCATTTCCAAATAGAGACAAGATTCACCAAGGAATCACGTAAGTCAATGCAAAATGACAGCTGGGAGTGAATGTTACCAAGACCCATATGATAGGGTTGGGTCAGAGCAAGAGTACAAGTTTGAATGTAGAGGAGAGAGGGAAGGTTATTTCCAGTCACCAGAAATGGCTTGTTCCAATGAAAGAAGGAAGGAACAATAGATAATATCATGTAATTTGTGTTTGAAAGAAGGCCTTCACCTGTAGTTAGCCAGAAGTATTCTATGGGACCACAATGATGGGCTGGAAAGATGGTGTTCCTTGCGGGCAGTAGTGGTGGTAGAGACAGGATGGATTTGACAAGATGTTGGGGAGAAAAAGGTAGGTTCAAGTTATGGATTTGAGGCTAGGAAGCCAGGAGATGACTCAGTGTTTATGGTTTCCTTAACATTCCCCAATGCATAATAGGCTGCGTCCATTTTCCTCTTTGAGAGTCTAATTCTCTTCCATATAGCACCGTTATCTAGCCCAGATCTACTCAGCCATTGCTCTCTAACAGCCAGCCAGCTGTAAGAGCTATTGCGTGTGTCGATGATGGGCTCCCACCAGCTCCATGTCTGCACAGCCTGCACCCCATCTCTCCCCACCCCACTCCCCCGGCTCCATTCTTTGCTCACATTCTTAGAGCTGTCATTTTCCTCTTCCAAAACTAACCTCTTCTTCACTCTGCCCCATTCTTACCTACTTCCCTGCGAATTGTCACCAGGATTCTCCTCTCCAAAACCTAGGAGTTCTTACCTTCTTCATGTTGTGGACCCTTTGTAGTATGTGGTAAAACCTGTGAATGGTCGATTGCTGTTTTCATTTTTTTTGTTTTAGTTCCATTACCTATCTGATACTGAGAATTGAACATAGGGCCTCCTATTCGCCAAGGATGAGCTCTGTGGCTTGAATGCTGTTTTTTGGTAAATGCAGAAAATATACGTTATAATGGGAAACAACTGTATTGGCATACGGCTCTAAAATATTTTAAAGTTTTGACAGCACAATAATAAATTGCTTATATCTAAAGCACAAAATGACAGGATTATTTAATGGTGGGTGAAATCACTACATTATTTCAAAGGAGCCATGAACATAAATGATATTTTAAGATATCTGCAACCAATGGAATGTGACAGCTGTGTGGTCTGTTGGTCCCAAGTCAGGAGAGCAGCTGGAGCTACAAGTACGCTCTCTACCTCATTAGTCCAAGAGGGGCTGAGGAGCTGCTCAGAGTGTCTGCTTAGAATGTCCAAGAGCCCGGGTTTAGACCCCAGCACCAATCAAATAACAGCAAAGTTAAAAGAAAAAGAAAAATGTGGAGGGAAGGAAATGATAAAGGGGGTGAGAATGGCTGGAAATATCAATGTGTGAACATATAACAATGAAATCCCACCCCTCCTTGGTATAATTTAATGCAAGCTAATAATCATAATTTTTTAAAAGCTGGGTAATCTTAGCTACTCATAAGGCTGAGATCTGAAGGATCATGGTTCAAAACCAGCCTGGTCAGGAAAGTCCATGAGACTCCTATCTCCAATTAATCACAGAAAAAGCCAGAAGCTATGGTTCAAGTGGTAGAGTGCTAGCCTTAAGCAAAAGGAGCTCAGGGACAGCGCCCAGGCCCAGAGTTCAAGTCCCAGGATCAGCAAAAGATAAAAATGAAAATAATAATAATAGTAATTTTAAAAGTTGAAGAAAATACTGAAATTCAAGTAAGTAGACAGGGAAAATACAGGCATCATATTTTTTTCTATGGAAATTCACAAACTCCCTTTGCTTCAGTTTCTTTGCACTAGTGAAGTGCGCTCCCATTTAAACAAATACTTTGTGAAGCATAACTCTGCCAACACTGGCTTGGGAACTCAGGTGCCTCTCACCTGTCTGTCAAGGTTGGATTCTCTGCCTGGCTTTTCAGACCCCATCAACACTCCCCCCTCTCTAAAAACTGGCTAACAATGCAGAAGACATGTATAGTCATTTCTTCTGCATGTATCTAAAACAACCCCAGGAGACCCTGTTCTTCCTGTAGGACCAGCAGAAATGGTGGGGCATGAGGCTCTGTGAGGGTCTGGCTCTCATATCAAAGCTCTGTGTCTTTGGTGGCTGTGTGTGTGTGTGCTAGGGACATGTTTTCTTTCAGCTGTGGCTGAAGAGAGACGACAGTCACTCATACCTGCACTTCTGATAGTGGCCAGCTGGGAAGCATAGAGACTAGCCTGCCCCAGCCAGCATAGCGCAGCATCCACAGTTCTTAAATTACATTCTTTAGCAGCCCCTGAAGCCAATTTCCTGCCTAGTACGAGGCAAAGTTCCTCTTCCTCGGTCCTACAAAAAGTGTTTTAAAGTTGCCTACTAGTTTTGGGTGAGATTGTGGTCTGACTGTCTCACTCATTTCTTACACATAAAGATAAAGGTGAAAGAAGTTGAAAGCCTAGGACAAGTCCATTTGTTTGCACTTCATTTGGCTTTTTGTTGTTGTTGTTATTGCTGTTGTTTGTGGTTCTGGGGTTTTAACTTAGGACCTTAATCTTGCTAGTCAGGTACTCTATCACTTAAGCCATGTTCCCAGGCCTCAGCTGATGATCTTGAAAATGGCAAAGTGTGACCTTGGGGGGGAATTCTGTGACACATGTTGCACAGAACGAACCCGTGTGACCTGACTCTCACAGTGATTGCTCACTGTGAGGTCCTTTCCTCACACTCATGAGACTAACTGCAGCAAGAAAAACAAGGATTCTAGAATCCTCATGCTGAGGTACCGTGGAGCCCACCCCATCTCCCTGCCCCAGACAGGAATCCACAGGACAAAAAGTTAATGAGCTTAGGTAGATGCTTAATTCCTTCAGTGATTATCTTGCTTGTCTAAGCTTTGAACCAAGGCAGCCATACTTAAGCTAGTTGGGGGTCACACACATTAAGATGCTCTTAACATATCCCTTCATGCAAGAACAATGGAGAGATGGATTGAAGCAGAAACAGTTCAGTCATTCCCGTTGGTGGCTATACACTTACCCAATGGCTTATCATTTAATTTATTATGGCAAATATATTTTTATAAGTCTCTGTGGCTCTGCATAAATAACAAGCTAAAATCACATTTAAAGTGTGGATTGCCCTTATCCTGAAGCTGGCTGGAACTGCACAGAAGGACAGATCAGCGGGAATGGGAGCCCAACTGTGTGTCTAGAACTGTGTAGTACCGCCTAGGCCCACCTCCCAAATTGACTCTGTGCTTTCTGCTCTGTGTGCAGGAGAATGCAGCAGTGGAATCTGTGATGAGGCCGCCTGCATCAATGGTGGCACCTGTGCCGCTATCAAAGCCGACTCCTACATTTGTCTCTGTCCTCTGGGGTTCAAAGGTCGACACTGTGAAGCCGGTGAGAAAGAAGCAAGTTGATGGCAGTTCCTAGCTGCATGCTAATCTGCATGGCTGTAACTTGTCAGCAGTGTACTTGTAGCAAAGCCTTGTATGTTTTTACAGGCTCAAGGTTGCTGGGTGGGAGGGATGGAAGTGTCTCTGAGTGCCAAAGTTGTAAACCAACTAGAGACGTTCCTTTTGAGAGGCTGAGTGTGGGTGGCCCTCCAAAACCTTTTAGAAAGCCTGCATTTGTGTGGTTTATTTCAGATCGAAGTCAAAGCTTTTAAGCTCCTGTTCTTCGGGGTATTTGGAAATTTGATAGAAAAAAGATTGAGCAACACAGAAATTAACATGTGATAAGACCAAAAAATGCTTTTGTTTTTCCTTCTCTCTGCTGTCCTGCCAAATTATCCCCCCACTCAACACAGCATATATCTTCCACAAATCTATAGAACACCCACACCCACACAGACACATAGCACACAGACACACGAATGGTAATTGGGCATTTTAAAGAGTGTGGAAAACTATGCACGTTGTTTTAAACATGCTTTAATTTTTCATAAAAAAAAAAAAGAAAAGTAAAATAAAATAACTGGGCCAAGTCTCACCAAAAATAGTCAAGATCCAATGCTTGCTTCATGTTTGGACCTAAAATGCTCCCCTGGGAAAATTTCTTTTAATGCTATAAGCTCAAATCTCATGTCCTCAGAAAGAGTGTGTGATTCAGAGTAAGCCATGCCATCCTGTGTTTCAATAGGCAAAGTAGCAGAGGAAAAGCTGATTCTTTCTTGCTCATATCCCAAATCACTGCAGTTCAGAGAGTGGTGGCAAACCTGATCTAGGCAGAGCTATTCAGGGGCACCGTGTCTACCCTCTAGGGACTTAGATCCTCCACTGAACCTGGCCTGCAGCCAGCATGGGAGTGAAAAGAATATAAGGGAGATGGACCAGACGTGGAGTGCTAGATAACACTGTCATCCTCTTCCCATGGCTAGAACTCAGTCATGTAACTCATCTAGCTATAGAACATCTGGGAAGTCTTGGATAGGCATGTGCCACAAAGGAGGGAATCCAGCCCTGGGCGCATGACTCACCAATTTTGGATCCACATAGATTTCTAACATCTTGCTTGTGTCTCCAGCCTTCACCTTGACCATGCCTCACTTCAGAGAGTCTCTGCGATCCTATGCTGCCACACCCTGGCCCCTGGAGCCCCAGCATTACCTTTCCTTCACGGAGTTTGAGATCACGTTTCGGCCAGACTCGGGGGATGGTGTCCTCTTGTACAGCTATGACACGAGCAGTAAGGACTTCCTGTCCATCAACTTGGTGGGGGGCCACGTGGAGTTCCGCTTTGACTGTGGCTCTGGGACTGGTGTTCTCAGGTAAGGGAGGAGACCTTTTGCAACTCTCTCCATCCAAAAGCCAGATGGAAAAAACCAGTGGTGGTGGCTTGACCCTCCTCCTTTCTTCCCTAGAGGAGTCTCTTTGGAAGATTTTCCTGTTTCCTAAAGATGACAGGCTTCTCCAAACAACTTCCTAGTATTTAGCAGTTCTCTGGCTTGTTTCCCATGAGGGTAGATGGTCTCCATTTCTACCTCAGGATATGTAATACCACAGTGAGACATTCAATAAGCTGTGACCAGTCAGCACCTGATACAGAACGTCATATGATGGACACTCATCAAATAGATGTCAGCTAGTCAGAAAACATTAATACATATTTAGCATGTAGAAACGTACTTGCTAGCTTCACTTTAGATTTTAGCTATGTTCTTAAGGGTTTTTTTTTAAAATAGTAATTAGTTATTTGAAAAATCTCTTCCTTACTCTTCTCCCTATAAAAGAACCTCATACAAATCATGGGTAATGCACTCATACCCCTGACCAGTGAGCTTAAGAAGGGTATGTGATGAGGGATTTTTCACAGCTTGGTAATCTGTAAATTCTTCCAGCATATTTACTGCTATGTGCAGAATATTTGAATAGTGAATAGTGGAAACTTTCTTCCCATTATTTAGCTTGTACTATTACATTACTTCACAAATCGACTGTTCCCATATAGTGGGTCAGCATTTGTTTTTTGAATCCCCCTGGAGCCTGTGGTTGATGTTTTCTTATTTGTGACTATCTTCCTGTCATTTCTTTCATACAGTTTTTTTTTCCTTTTTTTGTTGATCATGGGCCTTGAACTCAGAGCCTGGGTGCTGTTCATGAGCTGTTTTGCTCAAGATTAGTGCTCTACCACTTTAAGCCACAGTGCCGCTTCTGGTTGTTGAGTGGTTTATTGGAGATAAGAGTCTCTTAGACTTTCTTGCCCAGGCTATTGAACCATAATCCTCAGATCTCAGAGTAGCTAGGATTACAGGCATGATTACAGTTGGTTTAGCTATTTCATATAGTTTTAACCTTCAAATTCAAGGGCACTGATCTAATAGAGACATTCTTCTTATTCCTATATTTATCTGGTTCTCTTTTGAAACTCACTAGGATGTTTTGCTTAATGGCACACTGCAACAAGCAACCAGTTAGTCTGCCATTTTAAAGGGAATTGCAGGCTGTATTCAATCACTGCTTGTATTGCTAGTCCATCAGTTTTAGAAATGTTGCGTGTGATGGTACTGCCATGTTTCGCCCTTAACTGCCCATGATTTTTCATGGCTGATGGGAAATGTGCTCTGCATTAAGTCAACAGTTGTTTGCTTTTGTCCTTGAGGCTGAATTCTTAAACATCAGTGACACTTCCTACCTTGGGAAGTGGACATTTCTGTACCTCTAAGTTATGTAAAAACATCCTATATCTCAAGACAACTTTGCTGGGTATTTAATTGATTAAATTTACATATGATTATGCAAACGAGCCAGAGCAATTCACTTAACACTATATGTCAAGTGTTGAAGGGAACACACCTTGACTATCGCCTTGGGCTTTGACTTCCTTCTGGATGAGGAAGAATTCAAAAGAACTCTGGGAGGACAGAGCCCCCGCAGCCTTCTCCTGCATGTGTTGGCCCCTCCATATTGCTTCTCTGTAGTGGCAACTCCAGCAGTGGGGTGACAGGGGTGCAGAGACCCTTCAAAGTCCATTTCTTATTTCTTTTTCATAATGAGACTATATAGTCTCATCATGCTTTCCTGGGGCCTGGATACTGTCTCTAAGCTTCTTTTGCACAAGGCTAATGCCCTACAACTTGAGCCACAGCTCCACTTCCAGCTTTTTCTGGGTAGTTCATTGGAGATAAGAGTCTCACAGACTTTCCTACTCAGGCTGGCTTTGAATTGTGATCTTCAGATCTCAGTCTCCTGAGTAACTAGGATTACAGGCATGAGCCACCAGACCCTGGCTGAACAAGCCTTTTTTTTGATGAGTAATATCTTTAATTTTTTTTCAGTGTAAGCTGTTGTTTTCCTACCTGTCAGGAAAAGTGCTCAGAAAAAGACTTAGTGAAAATGAGGCAAGAGTTGCCAGAGAACCAGCTACATCTTCCTTGTCTCCTCCTGTTCACGGAGAGACTTGATAACAGAGATAGATCGCTATTGAGGTTTTAGATGCTTCTTTGGAAAATGGACTTAGAAAGAAGTTGTTTATTTTGAAATCATTTCAAAGACTTAATAAAGGAAATTCAGTGAAAGCTTGAAATTACAGGAAGTTATGGAATTGGCCAAACCATTTAACTTTAGGGAAAAGATAGAGTGTTCAAAATCATTATGAACTTAATTCAAAAATCCAGACAATTGGAATGGGCTGTTGATGGCTGTGATCGATATGACTGTGTAGAGGAAAGTGGTGTATTGACGGCCAGTGACCTCGGTAGGACAGGAACATGACAACCACGATGGTAGTTATTATGGAAACAGATCTCTTAAAAATGGGCGGCTTGTTTCTTTATTGCATATTGATTTAGCCAAGGTGATTAAACTCTAATTGCTAAGGACAAATCACAAAAGCATTTGCCTGAGCAAAAGAATCAAATGAGGGGGTGGTGACCCTTCGATAATTGTGCCTATTGGTATTCCTCCTGGCTTTCTAAAGATGATCCAAGACCAAAAAAAATAATAGGAAGGTTCAGTGGGAGCCAGGAACCAGACATTGTTGGAACTATAAATGCAATAATTATGTTCTTGCTGTATACCTCACTATAAAAAAACAATGCCAAAAACTTTTTATAAATCTCATGTAAGTTTTCAAGGTCTTCTACCTCAACTTGATAACTGAAATTTTTAAAAATAATGTTAATCTTTCTCACAATATCAGAGAAACACCAGAATGCCTGAGACATGGTGATTTATAAACAGCAGAGATTTATTTCTCAGATCTTTTGGCTGTGAAGGTCAAGGTCCAGGGCAGGGTCCTTTTTTGTGTTGTCCTCACAGCAGAAGATAAAAAGGCAAGAGAGCACACAGGCATAGTAGGTTGAAGAAAACAGAAGCTAAATTTAATCTTTAATAGGAACTGATCTCATAATCACAAACTGGCTCTCATGACACTGACATTAATCCATGTCTGAAAGCGTGGTCCTTATGATGGAATCACCTTTTAAAGGCCCTATCTCTTAATACATCTCATAAATATTGGACACATTCAAACTGTAGTGTCTCTTCCAACAATTCTATTATAAAAAATTTCAAAATATAGGAAACTTGAATTATAAAAATTTATATATCTTCCACCTGTAGTCCATAATTAATGTCTTGCTATTTTTTATATCTTTATTGTAAAGGTGATGAACAGAGGGTATAGGGTTATAGTAATAAGTACATTTCTTTTTTTTCCTTTTTTTTTTGGTCGTGGGGCCTGAACTCTGGGCCTGGGTGCTGTCCCTAAGCTCTTCAGCTCAAGGCTAGCGCTCTACCACTTGAGCCACAGCGCCACTTCTGGCTTTTTCTGCTTATGTGGTGCTGAGGAATCAAACCCAGGGCCTCATGCATGCAAGGCAAGCACTCTACCACTGAGGCACGTTCCCAACCCCAAGTACATATCTTTTTAAATACTGTTAACCCTTCCCTCAATTTCTCCCACTTACTCATCCATCCCCCCCCCCCCCACGTTGTATAGTTCATTTCTTGCTATTTTTTCTTTATCATATATCTATCTATCCTTATACTTATCCATCTATCCTCATTTTTATGTATTTTCAGGGATGATGCTAACATCAGACAAGGAATCTGTTCTTGGTACCATAGACCTTTTTTTCTTTTCTTCAAAGTAAATACAGGATTGCTATCATGTTTTACCTTCATGTCATCCTTCATATAGACAAAAAGACTCATGATGCCTACATTCTAGTCATTTTGTAAAGAATAAATGAAATGGTAAATGCAATGCTCATTTCACACAATTCAACAAATGGTACTACTGCTGCTGCTATTAAGCAGGAATTGTTTTTCTTTTGCTAAATGATGTATATAATGTCATCAAAGCTGGATTGGTAAAAATTATTGCAACATCCTAACTCCTGATCTTTTTCCATCTATAGTAGTTAAGATTCTCCAGAGAACCAGAACCAATAAGCTATACATAGATATGTAGAAAGGGATTTGTCTTGTAGGATTGTCTTACATGATTATAGAACTGAAAAGTCCCACAGGCTACCATCCACAAGCTGGAGGCCCAGAAATGTTCATGGTGTAGTCCTGCTCAAGTCAATGACAGTAAGTCCTTATCTGAGCACAAAGGACCAAGAAGCAAGAGGCTAAGATCTAATCCATACATGAAGTCTCAAGAACCAGGACTGCTAATGTTTAATGGCAGGAGAAGCACATTAACCCCTTGCCCAACTTCTTGTTCAACTGATGTCCATCCATATTAGTGAAAGTCATTTTTTTTTTACTGCCAATTCAGTGCTAATATGTTCCAGACATACCCTCACAGACACCCCCAAATAATGTCTTATCAGCTAAGTAGAGGGTTCTTCTCCCATTCAAGTGGACATAGAAAATTAATGCCACATCTTTCCTTGACAGGAGTGAAAATCCCCTCAGCCTAGACCAATGGCATGAACTGCGGGTATCTCGAACAGCAAAGAATGGTATCTTACAAGTGGATAAGCAAAAAGCAGTAGAAGGAATGGCAGAGGTAAGACCATGCTTTTTCTCTTAATGGTTTGCCATTATTGTAAACCAGCCCCTCAGGGTTTTTTTTTTGTTTCGTTTTGTTTTGGATTTTTGCTCTTATTGTTAGAACAACAGCATAATATAGTATTGAAATTCCACGCAGCTACCCTGCAAATATAAATAGGATTTATAGTAATAATTCTGACCTCATAGAGTTGTTATAAGTGTTAAGTGAGTTAATAATAAGAACAGCACTTAGAAGATTGTCTTCTGCCCTCTACCTTCAAGTTCCAGCCTTGTTCTTATCAGCAGGATAATGTCATGGGCAAGAAAAACAAACCCTGAGTTAGGGCCAGCAGTGCAGTACGACATGTCTGATAACAAATGGCAAAACCAGACTCCTAGGTTTCAAAATTCAGCACTATGTAGCTTTACCTGTTATTATTATTATTTCCTAATTATGTAATATTATGGATTTAAGAGCACAGAATTCTACTGTTTGTAACTTTGCTCCATGATTTGATTCCCAAGGTCATGTCCAAAGAAAAACAATGTTGCTCGCCAGAGGAGATAAGGGAGATTTGTATTAAAATAGAACCTAGCAAGATTCTGCATTTATACAAAAAGTATAATCTCTTACAAATGGGAAAGAATGCTGAGTACTGATGGCTCATATCAGTAATCCAAGCTTCTTAGGAGGCTGAGATCTGAGTTCAAAGTCAGCCTGGGTATGAAGCCTATGAGACACTATTAACTATCCTAAAAAGGCTGCAAGTGGAGTTGTAGGTCAAGGTGGTAGAGTGCTAGCCTTGAGCAAAAAAGCTCAGGGATAGAACTCAGGTCCTGAGTTCAAGCCCCAGGAAGTGTACACAAATAAAAACATAAAAAAGGAGACAAGACTCTTGCATTTGCTAATATCTTGTTCTAGATCTTGATTCTGTGAAAAATAATATTTAAGAGAGCAATGGCAAATTTAGTTATATTGTTTGTTAAGCAAAAGATTTCTAGGGGGGGAAAGGTAAGGAAAAGAGTTTAATTGGGGGAAAAGATACTGAGCTGAGTAGAGAGTGAAGGAAATATATGTGTAGAAGCCAGCTGTGGAGGCAGTGATGATGGGAGGGCCTGTCAGAACCAGTCCTCCCTGAGAATTAGAAGAACACCCAAAGTTGGTTCTGCTTCAAGAAGTAAGCATCTGCGCATCTAGAAAATTCCCCATTTATGTTTGTGGAGGTAAAGAAGAGGGGGAGGAGGAAGAGGGAAAGAGAGAGAGACAGAGAGACAGAGAGAGGCAGAGTATGGGAGGGGTAGGGAAGGATGGACTGAGAAGGAAAGGAGGGGAGGGAGAGAGAAAACAGAAAAACAGATAAAATGGACTTTAATGGGAGAACTGTCTTACTGTCCAACACGATCTAAAGCAGTCTAACATTATAGCCCTGGCTGTTGGTATCATCATATAAATTGAAATACATATAAGATTCATAACTCTTGAGGCTTTAGAACCATCTGTAGCACAAGAAAGCTCAGAGTGGTAATATTTGTAAATAATAGGGTTAGTCTTTGGTTACAAATTGGGTGTAGTTCAGTATTTGGTGTTTGACATTAGGATCTGAGAGAGAACACAATGTTAAACCACACTTCAGACTTCATATTACCACCCTCAGTGCTCACTGACAAGGTCAAAGTAGCTCCCTCTCTCGTGTTTTTCTGAACACGAAGTAGGAAGTGGGAAGTTGAGTTGAGCTCGCTCTCAACTAGGCAGGGGAAGGGTAACGCTCGACATGGGTCAAGTCCCCACCATAGGGATTCTGTCTTCAGATGTCCATACCAAGTTCAAGTGTGGCTGACAGGGCAATGGCCTTAGAAGAGCCTAGAGACAGCAGAGTGTGGAGGAAACCTTGAGGGATTCACGCAAGACTCAGGCCTGTGTGGAGCTAAAGCTGACTAAAGAGGCAGCACTAAGAAAACTACGAGCACAGGCTGGAGTGGAGTATACAGGAGTGGAAGAAAAGCCATATTTCTGAAGACTTCAGAAAGCCCCAGAGTGGCTTGCTGGCATTTTCAGAGTAGGCAAGAAACCTAGAACCAGACTCAAAGCGCCTCACTTCGGTGGGTCAGTGCTTCTTGACGCGCTGTCCCTGTGGGTATGGGGGCTGCAATCCTGCCTCTTGCCAGTGGGGGGCGGTGGGGGGCAGAGTGTTGAGCAGCTAAGGAACCAGCTCTCACCGGGTTCACTGGACACACCCAACTCCAAATCCTTTCAAAGCAGTCTGCTGCCAATGCCTCCTAGCCCTGCAGCCTTCCTCCTTTCTCTTACTTGGGCCTCTCAGCTTTGGGGTAAGAGCAAAGAGGAGGGAGAGAGGCCTATGGGTTTGTGGCGAGGGTTCCTGCCTAGATGAATCTGTGTGAGGCCACATGAGTTTCTGAAAGCCTTTTTACTTCTTCAGTGACTTACCAGCTAATATGAGTCCTTGGGGTTCTTAGGGGAAGAGGCCATAGTATAGCTCAGAGATAGAGTGGTTGTCTAGGATGCACAAGGTCCTGAGTTCAATCCCAGCATGGAAACACCAATAACAACAAAAAGAATCCTCAAAGTTGCCCAAAGGTTATGACCAAGGACAATAATCAAATCAACCTATTCCTTTGCTAAATAGCTGACCCTACGAGCACTCCCAAAGATCTATAGATAGATCTACAGATAGATCTCTCTGTCTCCTCTTCTCTATCCCTGACATGACTCTGAATCCACCTTCCTCCTTCTTGTCAGTGAGGACACATGATAGGTTCTTGGTCTCAAGTATAAAGAATTCAGGGGTGACTATACAAAGGACTTTTGTTTGTTTTGTGGGGGGTTATGGGGGGGATGGCCCTGGGGCTTGAACCCTGAGCCTGAGTTCTGTCCCTCAGCTCTTTTGCTCAAGGCTAGAGCTCTACCACTCTGAGCCACAGTGCCACTTCTAGTTTTCTGATATGAATTGGAGATAAGAGTCTCATAGACTTTCCTGCCTGAGTTGGCTTTGAACCATGATCCTCAGATCTCAGCCTCCTGAATAGATGGGATTACAGGCGTGAGCCGCCAGTGCCTGGCTTACAAAGGAGTTTTAACAGAGTAAGATTTATTGAGGCACCCTTTGAAGGAGTTGGTAACTCCCGAGAGAACTTGAGCCTCTGAGTCGTTAGGATTTAATGATGTATATATAATTGTGGCGATTTCTGAGGAAGGGGGAATACCTTTCCAAGTATGGGAAGAGAGTGGGAGCCAAGATAGTGATTCAAAGAGAAGTGGGCATGAGCCACAGCTACAATGAGATGTAGATAAGGCTGGAAAAGTCCCTGCTGGACAACTGTTGGCCACTGCAGCAACAAGCAGTCTTAACTATGGCCAGCTATGGTCGCTTCAGAATAACTGTGGAGCAGAAGATGTGGCACGGTGTACCTGGATACAGTGCTGCACCTCCTCTCTTAGTCTTGGGTAGATTGTCTCCTTTTGTGCCTGTCTCCCTCTGACCAATGATCTTTTTTTGGGGGGGAGGGGTCCGGTCGTGGGGCCTGAACTCTGGGCCTGGGCGCTGTCCCTCAGCTCTTCAGCTCAAGGCTAGCGCTCTACTACTTGAGCCACAGTGCCACTTCCGGCTTTTTTCTTTTTGCTTATGTGGTGTTGAGGAATCGAACCCAGGGCCTCATGTATGCAAGGCAAGCGCTCTACCACTGAGCCACTTTCCCAGCCCTGACCAATGATCTTAAAACACTGATTTCTCTCCTGCTCACTCTTGCTTTAAACTCATTGCCTTTGAGTTAAGTTTAAATTCACAACATTGCCTCCAAAGATCTCCGTGTTTGCCTTCCTGTTTCTTTCCAATCCCTGACTCCTTCAAGTTTCCATAAATCTAACTCCTCTCCATCCACTATGTCTAGGGTACAGGGAGAAATATTCCTAATTTCAGGTGCACACGTAGACAGTCCTCACTTATGCTGCTTGTAATCATCCATGGACTTATCTGTGCAATTCTGCACCTGTGTTGGGGGGCCGAGACTGGTCTTTCCCATTTTCTGTTGTTTGTACAGCCCTTTACACAGTAAATGCCTAATAATGTTTGTTAGATAAATGATAGAAGGCTACCACTATTTATATTTCTTTTGTCATAAATCAGAGAGAACATTACCTGAAGTATTGCATTACCTGTAGTAATATAGGATCATTCCCTATGATCTCAGATTTTGATTTATCTCTGTGCTATCTTTAGATGATTTAGCATTTTGATTATGCTTTATGCTTGAATAAGCTTAGGCATTAACTATTACACACAGCTGGTGAAACTACTAGAAGCAGGAGAAGCCTTTGGGAGACTAACATGGGGCATTTGAGAAAACTGGGAAGATAGAATTTCTCTGTCCTTTGCAATCTATCACAAAGACTACCTTCCCCTGCACCATGCCTTCCCTAGTTTTTGGACTGCTAGAAGCTCTCTCTTTACCATTCCCAAACATAGTAATAACCATACTAGAATGCTGGTTATTCATCCAAATCTAGGCAAAGTGTTTAACTAAATGATACCCCAACTGCCAAGATAAGCTGAGTTATGCTACACAAAGTCACAAACAACATAACAAGGGTTTAGTTCTTTGCTTACACCACAGATTAATCAATGGTTAGCCTCAGCTTGCATTTGTTCCAAACTGAAGGAACAGCAAAAGAGAAAAAAATCACAATGAACCACTTCCTGGTTGTGAAAGCTTCTGCCCAAAAGCAATTCCAGTCTCTTCTGCTCTCCTTTCATTGGATAAGCCAAGTCACATGGGACAAGCTCCATTAGTTGCTTTCTGCAGGGAGGGGTACAAGTCAAGGAGCAGTAAACAACAAAGAACAGTAATACAGTCTATAAACTCTTCATGACATGCCTAGGATGAAGATATTATCATTGTCACTGATAATAAACTTGAGTTGCAAAGAGCAAAGAAATTTACCAACATCCTAGTAAATGGTAGATGCTTGTTTTGGTAATACAAAAGAATGTGGAAGCTAGGAGCTGGTGGCACATTCCTGTAATCCTAGCTACTCAGAAGGCTGAGATTTGAGGATTGCGGTTTGAAACCAGACCAGGCAGGAAAGTCCGTGAGACTCTTATCTCCAGTTATCCACCAGAAAACTAGAAATGGCACTGTGGCTCAAGTGGCAGAGCACTTGCCTTGAGCCGAAGAGCTCAGGGACAGAGCCCAGGCCCAGAGATCAAGCCCCATGACCGACCAAAACAAAAAAAAGAATGTGGAAGTCCAACCAATCTCTAGATAGATTGCTATAATGAGTCATAAGGCTGTCTCTACCATTTGGTTCCCCAACAGGGAGCCAAAGACATAGTTGATAGTCTGAACAGTGATAATGAAATGATACTATGATTTGTGGTTTAAATCTCTCGGCAGGGTGGCTTTACCCAGATTAAGTGCAACACAGATATTTTTATTGGCGGTGTCCCCAACTACGATGATGTGAAGAAGAACTCAGGCATCTTCAAGCCATTTAGTGGCAGCATCCAGAAGGTATAACTTCACTTTTTTTAGTTTACTCTGTCATTTTGACTTTACACAATTGAATTATGATCAGTATGATCTGCTACACTCAAGAAAGAAGTGTTGAGAAAGTTCTAAGATTTTGACAATTTTATTTTTTTAAATACCTTCCCAACCCTACTTTGTTACAACACCTGTTCCTAGATCGGTGCTCATTATACCTTCCATTCATGATACTCTAAGTAAACTCAGTGTTTGTAGCAAATCCAACCCTCAAATTCTAAACATATTCAGAGAGACAACTGACACCAGGAGACTGCAGACACTACTACATCAGCAAAGAGGTAAGTGGCGCCAACTGCATCTCGTAGCTTCTGTTTCTCTTTACATTGCTTTGTAGCTTGCTCAGGCTACATGTCACCTGTCACCCTGCCCTCACACATTTGCTCATTAGTCAGGGAACCAAGGTCTCAATAGCATACATTAAGGACAAAATAACCACTCAGTTAGCACTCCCATTTGTCTCCCATTCCTTGTCTTGAGGCTGTCCATTGCTCTCTGGCTGGGAAGACATGTTCTATTTGCCACAAACATGCAGCTTGCCTCATGGACTTGTAGATGACTAAGACTGGGCAAAGACTCTAAAGAAAAGTAGCTTCATCCTATTTTCCTGCAGTGACTAAGGATGATATCTAGATCATTTTTGGTAGAGACCAAGATGAAGGAGGGACAGCAAAGGTTCTGCTGTGATTTGTACCTTGTGGCGCTGGGAAAGGCCCATGAACTGGATCTTTATCATCTCCTAGCTCAGGAAAAAGGCCCGGCCAATATTTGCTGGCTCTGATGTGGTTTTTTTCCCCTTTGCCATGATATCAGGGACATGGCAGTTCAGGCTGTCTTTTCCCCATGAGGGACATGGGAGAGATACTGGCCATGTTTAGTCAGCTTTGAAATTCTTTGCCCTCACTGTTGGCCTTTTTCAGGCTTTGCCCTGTTGTAAGGTAAATCATCTCAGAAGCCACATTTTAAAATATAGAATATTGGAGTCTTTATTATACAGTTAGCAGGTTGCAGGCCACCAGTTGTTACAAAGGCCTGCAGCACGCAAGTACACATAACACAGCCAGGAAACATGCTAAAGAGGAAAGAAATAAGAACGATACCAACAAGCCAATTCAGCGCCAGTGGAGAGCTGAATTGGGACTCCATGATGACTGGAGACGAGCCAGGAGACAGGACACAGGACGCGATCACAGAGACACACTTAGCATGGAGTCCTAGCAGCTAGGCTGGTCCAGGCCTAAATAGGTCAGGGCTGGGGACAGATCCTTGGGAAATTCCCAGTCCCAGACACTGGACTGACAGATTCAGTAACTTATCAGCAAGTGCTTGTCCCTGCCTCCAGCGATCCTGGCATACTCATTACCTGGGAGGCAGGTGAGGGGGGTAAGGAAGTTTCTTCCCCCAGAATGAAGACCAGACCCTGCAATCCACCATGTGGCCAATATGGTGCTGGCCAGACCTGGCCTCCTTACTTCAGCCCCTTCCCTTCCCACCTTCTAGAAGGGCCACTCTTTCCTCCCAGTAACTCAGTCATTGGCAGTGCCACATCTGCTACTGAATGGTGCCTGTCTTGCTTGTCTTGAGTATGTACTATTCCATCTCATGTCCTTCACTTCCAGCATGGAAAGAGGAGGTTGTAGAGGACTCAAGCTCCTCCCTAGCTTCTCAGATTTAGAACTGAGGAGTTTGGGTTGTCTTTTATTATACAGCTCTCTCAGTGTTCTCCAAGGATAAAGCAAGACCTTAGGAACACCATTCACAGCAGGAAGTGCCCATTCTAATTTCTGATAACTCCCAGGGCAAAAGGAGGTACTCGCTGTGTCTCTGAGCTCTGCAGAGCCAGCATATGCTCATAGTAATTACACATCCTGAGTCAAGAGTCGAAAAGTTAGGCCCATTTCTTTGAGATTCAGGGATACAGTAACTGCTCCCGACAACTCATCAGCTACAAAGAGTTGCTCTTCAGATCCAGGAAATACACAAACAGCAGTGCTAAGAAACTGAAGGAACGAGAGTGGGTCTAAACAGAAAGCCTTAATAATAGAGAACAGTCTTTAGTTTAAAATTGTGTTTTGAGTTGGTAAGTTCCAGAAAAGTCTCACTCTTATTAGATGACTGGTTCTTGATCCCCCGTGATTGTGTCCACATTTGATTGCTTTGGCTTATATTGAATATCTTCGTTAGACTCGAGTGTTCACCGCTTTTGTTTTTTACTTTGATTGTGTTCATATCTGATTTGCTTTCTCCTTTGTTAAGATTTAATTCCATGCACTTTGTTGGTTTGGGCTGTGTAAGCTGTGCATTAGTTGTGTTCAGGGCAGAAGGGCTTTGTGACAGGAGTTCCTCTGCCACCCGATAGCGCTACAATAAAGACCCCAAATGTAGCCTCTTAAGTGGTGGCTTCTCTGTTCTCATGACTGGATCTACCATACAACAAAAGGACTGGAGTTTCACTTGTTGATTTCCAGTGGTGAGGGAAGGGGATGCTGTGAGGAGGGAGTTCAGAGATGGGGAAGGAGACAGCAAGAGTGACAGCCCTGGGACTTATAAGAAATTAGAATTGGCACTTCCTGCTGTGAATGATGTTCCTAAGACAATTGGGTGGCTCTGTTGATGGAGTTTTAGTGGACATTACAAAATACGTTAGCTAAAGCTCAGGAAAATGCCCCAGGAAGCCTCTGGATTCCACAGCCCCCCCCCCCCCCCCCCCCCCAGCACCAGATCCCTTGATCCTGCCCCATGCCTCTTGGTTTTTTCCTTTCCCTAGTCAGCCTCATCGCCATGGCCACGGCTTCCCAAGGGATCCTTGGAAGGTTTTCCCATTACTGACAACTGGGTCCCACCTTCAGAGACTGGCTCTATTTGGTCCGATGGTCAGGGGAGGCTCCTAAGTAATTCCACTAGCTAAGCTGAGTAGCTTAACTGCAGTTCTCAGGATGTCTCCTCTACCGTCCCAAGTAGCCTGTCTTCCAGAATCAGAGGAGCACTCTCCTTGGCAGCTTCTCTTAGGCACAAATGCAATCCCCTCTGCACCTCTTTCCTTATGGACTGTCACAGCAGGAGCATGGCTTCTTTTTTATTAACTTTGCCCACTGTGTGGAGTTTGGGTTGGTATGCTGAGGGGAACTTCGGTTGACTGCAAAGATGTCTCCCGATTCCTGAATTTCTTTGTTATGTGTCTCTCCCAAGATCATCCTGAACGACAGGACCATCCACGTGAGGCATGACTTCACCTCAGGAGTAAACGTGGAGAACGCGGCTCACCCCTGTGTGAGAGCTCCCTGTGCCCATGGGGGCAGCTGCCGGCCCAGAAAGGAGAGCTACGAATGTGACTGCCCTTTGGGCTTTGAGGGCCTACACTGCCAGAAAGGTACACAGGGAGTCTACACAGCTTCTTGGAGGGATGAAAGCCAGGGACAGAATGTTGGGAGGCCAGCATTGTTAAAGGGAAATTTGTGTTATGTGGGTAACGCAGTCCTGTTGGTTATTTTGATGAATGACTTCCACATGTATTAGGTGGTCAATTACATATAAACAAGCCAATTACAATTACTTAGTGAACACTAAACACTGAAATACTCCTGTAAGAGGAGATAAAGAGTTCCCTGCCCTGGCTCCATGCTTCTTAAGAATTTCCCCCTCATTTCTCTACCAAATGGTTAAGTCGTAGCATAGCAGGGGTTTCTAGGACTAATGCATTTGAGACTCTCCTGACAGGGGTACCTATGTTTTGTGTGTTGGTGATAGTTTTGACCCCTTTCTTGCATGCTATATAGAGAAATATTGCCCACCTATGGAAGAAATGAATTATGCATTAATTATTCCAAACTAAAGAATGCATAACCTTCTGCAGCATGCTGCTTTCCACTGTGGGTCGCCACAGTGTTCTCAGTTATAAAATGGGATAATACTAGCAATGGTAGCTACCCGAAGGGCTTGGTGCAGACTGAATGAAGCCGTTGACATAAGGCATTTAAACAGGGAAGTACTCAACCAATATTATCATTCTAGTCATTCTTATTACTGAGGGGAAAAATAAAATGTTAGCTGAGGCTATGAGCTCACCAGTTTGTATCATGCCTTTGTCTGGGAGCCAGCAGAACCACAGCCCACAAATCCTGGTCCTCTTTTTGCAGCTGCTTAAAGAAGCAGAAGCTGTGGGTTGGTCCTGGTGTTTAGAATAGGCGTGCCCACGTGTGACTGGCAGGTCGGGCCGTGTGGACTGTCTTGTCTCAGATGTCAAGATGCCCTTACCTGCTTGGAAAAATAAGGAAGAAAGCAAGCAAGTAGAAAGCTTATCTTGCTTTCCTGTTGTTTTCTCGATTCCAGACTTTCACCAAAATTAGAACCTAGAGGAAAACTATAAATTAGAGCAGTCTGAAAATATAGTAAAGATACCAATTTGCCTATTTGCATATCTCTTTTCCTTTCCTTTTTTTTCTCTCTAAGACAAGGTCCTGCTATATAGCCCAAGCTGATCTTGAACTCATGATCTCCTGCCTCAGCCTACTGAATGATAGGTTATAGGTGTGTACCACCCTGCCCATTTATTATATTAAGTAAATTATGGAATTTGAATGGCAAATAATCAATGCATTATTTTTCAACCAAGAAGACAAATTGCTCTGTTTGCGAGTGATCCAGATTATAATTCTAACAAGCACAAGTGTTGAGCTAGAAGGTGGTAGATTTAGTTCAAGAGAGGTCCATTCAATCAGAAAACTGGATGTGGGTTTGACATGTCGGTCTCTGAATTTCCTGTATCCAGTTTTACTACAAACAGTTCATACTTGCTTCTAACAGTAATGGTCCATATAAGTCAGGGCTTAAATGAATGTCTAGGTAAAAGGAAGGAAGAAAGGATACTTTGTAATCCCTTGCTTGATTCATACTGTAAAACTTCAGCTCAAACAGATACAAAGTGCCCAGCATATGACTCTGGGACTCTGGGTTCAGTTACAGTGAGAATCAAACAAGACAGATCTCTGTGAAGGCCTGAGTTCCTAGCAAGGTCTGCAGAAATGGGCAGTGGCAGGGAGTGTTTGGCCTCTACCGACACAGCAAGATCAAACCCAGGTGAACCATTTGCTGCCCTGCATGCTTCATCAGTATCTACTTAAGCTTTGCAATCAAGACATTGCTTTTGATAAAATGGAAGCTGTTGCAAATCCTAGGAAGGTTCATTTATAAGAACCCTTGCCTATATCCTATAATATCCTCTCCAGTGATACTAACTTAGGAAGGTTAGTAAGGATCTGAGATGGTTTCCCCAGATCTCTGCAGGTACACAGCTCTGGGCAATTAGTATGAACACAGCTATAATTTAGGGTTTCTTGTCCCTTGAAATGATTGGAAAGAAAGAATGAAGAAGAGATGGCAATTGTCTTATTTCTGAGAGATGAAAAGCACTGAAAGTTTGGGCAAATTCATGGGCTGGAAGCTATCTTTAGATATTTCTCATGATTAATAATAGGGAGAGCAGGGCTGGGAAGGTGGCTCAGTGGTAGAGTGCTTGTCTTGCATGCATCAGGCCCTGGGTTCTAATCCTTAGCACCACATAAGCAAAAAGAAAAAAGCCAGAAGTGGCGCTGTGGCTCAGGTGGTAGAGTTGAGCTGAAGAGCTGAGGGACAGCACCCAGGCCCAGAGTTCAGGCCCCACGACCGGACCCTCCCCCCAAAAAAATAGGGAGGGCTTTTTCCCCCCTACCTAATAATTAAATCATGCTTCAAAAGCAAGAATTTGTTTCTAGCATTCTCCACAGTCTTTAAACCTGTTTGTTTATTTGAGCAAAATATTGTAGAATCACCTAGGATGAGACCACCCAATCTTGACCTCAAACTTTCTCTGTGAGGAGCTGCTCATGGAGTCTGGATTCATTAGGACTGGCTGCAGTCAGGGGGGAGTTGACACTTGGTCTCACTTCTTAAGAAGAAGGACCAGAAACAAACAAATCCCAGAGTCGGCCAGCCCTCAGGCCACCACGGTGGTTTAGAAACTCTCCTTTGTTCCTGGGAGGCCAAAAAAAGTTGGAGCCATGCCTGAACTCAGACAGAGGTGACATCAATTCCCACTCAGCCTCTGGTCTAAAGCATCAGCAGCTTCACAGAATCATCGCTCCCAGGCCCAACCCAAACCTGTCAAGAGACTGAGGTTCTTCTAACTCTCAGCCAGGACTCTGGGCACCAACAAAAACCATGAGGTTTCACTTTGGTGGTCTCCTCACCTCTCAGGTGGGGACTCTCACTTTCAAGCATCTTATTTCATCAAACCTCAGAACCCCATGCATGCACTAATCCCAAAAGCAAGGTCCCTGTGCATCTCACAAGGATGTCAGCAAGGCCTCCTCAATTCAGAACACTGTTTCCACCCCTAGAGGTTGCTTGCTGGCTTGGTCTACTCTCATCTCTCTATTTATTTTTATCTTGGGTTCTCTCCCTCAAAGCTCTTGTATCTATATAAGTTGTTAATTCCCTAAAACTAAATTGTACAAAGCTGGGCATATAAAAAAGCTATGTTCTGAGGAATGATAACCTCCCAATTCATACAAACACATATATTCACTTGCAGAAATGGGAGCTGAATCCTGTGGTCAATAAAATCTCAATTATCTGTGCAAACCAACGAGCTGTCTTTTTGGTTGGATTTATCAGAGACCTTGCTATATTGTAAGAGGAGAGTGTAGATTATAGTGCCGCCTTCCCCCTGGCCCCGCCCCGCCCCACTGCGAGTTCTACTGGACTGTTGTGGACAGATCACTAAGGAAAGAATTCTGTTCCTCTTTCCTTCTGAGCACAGAAACACTCAGGCCGCTAGGTGGAGGTGTTTCTCTGCAGCAGCCCAGCTGCTTAGCACACTCCCAGCTCAACAGCCCGAGGCAAAGCCTAGCATTAAGATACCATTCTCTCTAAGGATGTACTCTCCTAAAAGTTCAGATTTTGCCTGATCAATGCTGATCATAGAACACGAGGTGGCACTGAGGGCATTTTTATGTTATATTGAGTAGATATACATCATGTTGCTAAGGCTGAGCTAGACGATTTTAAAGTCATTTGTTTAGATTCCAATGAAGTAAATTTAATAAATATAGGCACTACTTTGAAAATACTCTGAACATTAAAACACACGTTAATAAAACATGAAGCTATGCATAGCATAGGGAATTTATTTTCTTAGGATGTTGTGTCATTTAACAATGGAAAAATTGGATGTACTTACCCAAGATGCTAGTCTGTAGTTAGGTGAAAATGTGCTGTTTCCTTTGTGGATTCAGAATCAACTTAATACAGGTTGAGTGCCCGTTATCCAGAATGCTTAGGACCAAAAGTAGTTTGAATTTCAGATTTTTAAAAAGTTTTAGAAGATCCATATATATGTAAAGAGGCATCTCAGATATGAAAGTCACCTGGGTTTCATATGAAGTCAATTCTATACAGTTTTTTGTTTTATGTACCTGCTTTTGGATTGTCCCACGAGGCATAGAATTGTCCACATATGGTGTCATGTCAGCACCCAAAAGGTTCAGATTTTGAAGCATTTGGCTTGGAGAATTTTAGATTTGAAGGGTTCAACCTGTACAATAGAGAATTGTGTACCAAGTCAGCTGTGTAAGAAGGGGCCGTGCTGCCCTGTCTGAAGCTTCCCAGCAAGAACAAGTGTGTGCTAGGTACACAGCAAACAGGGTGCTGTGCAGTACTCTCCTGGCTCCTGGAAAAGCTAGACTTGGATAATTTATTAGCCTTTTCCTCATGTCCAGAGTATATGGAGGTCCAACTGTACTTGAAATCTTAAGGCCGTTGATTGCGAAATTGGTTTTCCCTGGGATATGGAACTTGTGGCTTAGCGTCTATTACTCATTGAAGATGGTTTGGGTGCCACCCAATGGCACATGGTTTAATAATTGAGAGAGAACGGTAAAACTTTTGATACATCAGTAAGGTCATTGCCACAGGGAAAAACATGCAGAAAAAAATAGGCATAGTATTTAGACAAACAATAAATTGCCAGGAAAGGCTAAGTGGCCCTATCTGGCTCTAATGTTTCTGGATGGAATCACTGTTTATCCACACAGGCTAAATTAAGAGCATGTCCACCATATTCAGTAGCATCATTTTTGGATACCCTTTGCCTTTGCTAACTCACAAAATAGCCCAGTCTAGTCTCTAGAATTTTATCAAGGGCAAAGACCTGGGGATTAGGGGATTTGAGAAAATAAATACTAGGCTGGTGTATCAACACTCTGCCACATGGTCAAGAAAATTCCTACCCCATTACAAGGTGAGTAACTCAGTAAGAAGTTGTTTCTCTGGGCTTAGGAAAAAATGTGGGCTGTAGTCTGAAAGTGGGGGAGCAAGAGCATCAGAAGTATTAACATACTATAAACATCTTGTTGGTCCACTACCACTTACCCCCAAGTAACCTACCATGGGGGAGGGGAAGTAGTGAATTGGTACTAGGAGAGACTTCTAGAAGTTTCTTTTGTAGATCTTGTTTGCAATTCCTTCCGAATTCTTGCAGAGCTTTGTGAGGGAACAAGGCTTGTGTCCAAATGGCTTGTGCCCAGGGCACTTGGTTGTCTAATGGCTGTGAACACTGACTTTCCCTTTCTCTTTCATGCTGGCACTGGGCAGAATGTGGGAACTACTGCCTCAATAGTAAGTATAGTAAGTCCTGTAGGAGATGGGAATGTTTGGGCCCCTGCTAGGCTGGCCAGGGTAGCTCTGCCCAGGCTGTGGGCACAATGCAGTCAATCACACAGAGGGGACCAGGGGTAGGCAGTGTGGGACATTGGACAAGCAGACCAGGGTGATAGGACTCTCCCCTTTGAGCACATGATCCCTGGGAACAAGCAGGATTGCTGTCCTGCTGGACCTCAGCGGGCCCTGCTCCAGGGAATCTAGCAGTCAGCTGCATGCAGCTCCCAAGAAGGAAGCATGCTAAGGCTCTGTGCACAGAGCTGATGTGTGATGTATTCCAGGGAATGTATGCTGGGGATGTATGTGTGAGTATTTCAGGGAATACAGGGCAGCCATGGCTGTTGGCCCACAGACCCACGGACATGGCCAAGAGCAGCAGGTTCAAGCCCTGGTTGTACTTCTCACCTGGGGAGCAGGGAGAGCCAAACCCAATAGAGTCTGCTATTACATTTAGCCTTGGGACACTCCCCCTCCTCCCTTCTATTAAGAGTTTACTGAATTGAAGAGTCAGACACACCAGCAAGTGCTCCCCTCTACCTCCTCTAGTTTTGCTCCTCCCTCTTGTTTCCTTCCTCTAGTCTCCTTTCTATTTCCTTCTCTCCAGCCTGTGCCTTTTCTCCTTCTCCTTCTCATTTCCTTCCTCCCCTTCTCTTGCCCCCTGGTTGCCCATCAACCTACCTGACTCCTTCCTTTTATGTCTTTTTCTCCATTGCCTTGATACTTTCTTCTCTCCTTTTCTTGCTGCAGCTTTCTCTTCATTTTCACTTGTGTCTTTCATTTTTCTACTCAGTTTCTTTTTCTGTCTTCTGGCCATCTTGCTTCTCCTTCTGTCTCCTTCCCACCCCTCCTGGCACCATCCTGTTAGCCTGCTGGGAGAGGGGCCAGTGCGGACACAGTGTCTTTCTTCTCCACCTCTCACAGGTCCTCTTGGTTATCAGCCCCTGCCCAAGGCTATGCTGTCTCGTTAAGCAATAAAGCAATTTCTTGGATAATTTACTCAGAAATCACCTTTTAAATTTTTGTTTTTCCTTTTATTGTTCACATGTTCTTTCATCTTTATTTCCTCTCTTCTTCCCTCCCTTCTTCATGAAAAGCTTTGGAGAACATGGCAGAGTAACCTTCTTTTTTTTTTGGTGGGGGGTCTGGTCGTGGGGCCTGAACTCTGGGCCCGGGCACTATCCCTCAGCTCTTCAGCTCAAGGCTAGCGCTCTACCACTTGAGCCACAGCACCACCTCCGGCTCTTTTCTTTCTGCTTATGTGATGCTGAGGAATCGAACCCAGGGCCTCAGGCATGCAAGGCAAGCGCTCTACCACTGAGCCACCTTCCCAGCCTCGGCAGAGTAACCTTCTAACATAGAAACTTGTACTTGAAAGCCCAATATCATAGGGCTATTCTTCTCCACTTCCCTCCTTAAAAAAAGTTGAAGAGCTGGAGGTATGGCTCAAGTGAAGGCTCTTGATCTTAAACCCTAGGACTGCTAAAAAAAAAAAAAAAAAGTAACAAAAGTTAAGTTTTAAATTCTGCCCTTGTTCACAGTATCAGCTCATGATACATTTCTTTCCTAGGGTGGAGTTTTTAAAATAATATCTCTTCTGCTTCAAGCAATGTATGTCCTCTTGAAGCTGTAGTTGCTTCATAAACTGCTTTATTCTCTCACTTTGCACAATGAGAATATCCTTAGTATATTCTTTCACTATTTTTTCAAAGTTATCTCTCTACTAGAAAACCCCTCATCACAGCCATGCCTGATAGCGAATGCACTGCTTACTTTGCTCATTTGCTGTGTGTAGGAGAGTGATTTCTCAGGAAGACAAGGGGATGAGAATTTGGGAGGAAGGACATGTTTATAAAATACTGGAAAGTAAAGAGGGGGAATAGGAGCCAGAATTACGAAGAGCTGGTCTGCTCCATGCTCTATTGCTCCTCAGCCCATGATCTTGGACCAATCCTGATGCTTCTCTTCTGTAAAATGAAAATACCTGGGTCTTCCTTTCCCCCCACCTTCTCTGTTATTTGCCTGAGATAGTAGAGAAATCTCACACTGAAAGGTGATTTATAAGTGTGAGCCAGCCTCCACACTTTCCAGTCACTTAAGATCATAGTTAAAGGGGTTTAGCAGATTATTCTTAAATAAAGAAATCCTACTGGGACTTGTTTAGAGATTATTTTCTCTGCCTTCCTTGGCGAAGATCTGGGGTTATCCCCAGCTGCTCCCCACATGGCCCAAGTTCTCCTCTTTGGTTTCCAAGAATCACTGGGAACAGTTCAAGTTTTGGCACATTGCAAGGTCTTCTCAGTAGTGCAGAGGTCAGTGACAGTGACTGCCAGCCCCCAGCGAGGGGAAGTGTGAGAAGCCAACACGCAGAACATCAAACCAGGCTGCCTTGAACCTGGCCAAGTTTGTGTACAGCCAAGAGGAAGGGGCTGACAAGTTGTTAAATGTCGTATTTCCAAGGGCCAGCCTTTCTTGATGTGTTCCTGCCACGCGCGTGCCTACAGAGGTCAAGAGGGCCACGTGCCATATAACCTTTACTTTCTGTTCTGTCCCAGCCATCACTGAAGCCATCGAGATCCCGCAGTTCATTGGTCGCAGTTACCTGACGTATGACAATGCAGATATCCTCAAGAGGTAATGAGTGTGAACAGTACCCATCCTGATCTCCCTTGGGTCTGCATTTCTCAGTACCTTGCCAGGAACTTCCCCAATCATTCAAGGTCAGAGCTGAAGGGGTTGAGCTTATCTTTCCTGCCACAGGATAGTTTTTGAAGAAGGCCATTGTCTCAGGGGGGAAAACACATAAAATAAACATAAAAACTGGAACAAAGCAATCCTGCTCCAAGTGATTCAAATCCTTTCTGGTAGAGGAGTCCTATGACCCATCTTTGGGATTTTTTTTTTCAGCACTCAGCTTGCAAAGCATAGAGAACCTGCATGGGGCCAGGGTTCTAATATGGTTCCCTGAGCAGGTCAGTTAACTTGGCGCTGTTCTATGGCTGCAATCTACAGCTCTGCCTGGGACCAGATGCAGAAGGCCTAGCTGCAGTGCAACCAAATGACTAGATCCAAGCCTGGCCTACCATCCTGGGAGGCCAGTGCATCAACACAAATCAAATGTGCCCTTTAGGCTCTGGTCAGGTCAGTGAAAGCTGCTTGCCTCTCTTCCTGCGGACTCAAGGCCATAACATGAGGGGATATTCAACTCATAGCAGTCACACCTTTTATTCTTCACTGTTGGGCTGGGGTAGTCCTAGCTCTTGGTTTGGAGCAGTCTGCGTGTGAGGCAGGAGGTTAAGTCTGGCCTTCAGGGAACTCTCCCATCCGGTATAACTTGTTCTTAACACCACCTCTCTTTTTGCCCTCCTCTGGTTATTTCTTTCTACAGTACATTATTCCCTTTTCATCTCCCAGCACAATCCTTCTAGAACTTCCCATCTTCTTCACATTGACTGAATCAGAACAAACTAGGACAAATCTTTGAGCTAAACACACCTAGCTCTTAGGGCAGAGATGGGAGGTAGTGGTGGTATTGGATGTCACTAGTAATTCTGAACACACAGAGACATTGCTGCATTCCCCTACTCCCAGTTCATGTCTGTGCTGTCTTGGCACAGAAATTTAAGTAAAATGCGTTACCCTCCACCAGAGACCCTCCTCTTTCTTCAATCCCTTCCCTCTAAAGATGGCTGGCCATTCAGTCCCCAGGCAGTAGTGACAATGTGAATGGGGCCTAAGTCTTTAGCCTCTAGTGCTGTTTGGGAGACAGAGTTGGGGAGAGCATGAGATGGGCCTCACACCAGAGCTGGAGTGTGCGCATGCTCTCATATGTGCACATATATGAACCTGCATGTGAAGCTGCAACCTGACCCAATAAATAGATCTAAGGAAGATCTCAAGTTCAGAGTCTGTTTCAGTTAGATGCCTTCAATGTCCAGTAACAGAAAGCTCAGCTAAAATGTCTTAAGTATTATTTCATATGACAGGTAGTTCGCAGTTAGACTAGATCCTGAGCTTTTTCACTCAGAGAATCAACTATATCAACAAAGACTCATGTCGCATCCATATGTCTGCTTGTAACCCTCCACAAATTTCAGTTAGCCATAGGATGCTTATTAGATAGTTATAAGTAGAAAAACATCAAGAGAGAGAAAGAGAGAGAGAAGAAGAAGGAAGGGATGAAGGGAGGGAGGGAGGGAGGGAGGGAGGGAGGGAGGGAGGGAGGGAGGAAGGAAGGAAAAAAGGAAAAGAAAAGAAAAGAAGGTTTGGGTACTTATTGAAGAGAAATAATCTTTCCCCAAATCCTCCTTGTAAATTCCTTTTATTTTATTGGACAATAGTGAGTCACACACCCACTCTTCAAGCAGTCACTACCAAGAGAAATTAAAATCTCTTGATTGTCTTATGCCACTCATATAGTCAAGGCAAGTGAGGGAAGGAAGATCCCTGGAATAAAAGGTGGAGAAGTTGGAGAAGCACACTAGCAGGTTCCTAGGGAAAGGGCCAGGGTTGGAGTGCCCTGCACCTGGCTCCAGCCCCTCTTCCCTCACCTCTGTAACCTGCAGAGAAGGCAAGCTGTGCTCTAGCCTGGCCTCGTGAGGCCAGACAAAATTCTGTCCACTGTGCACTACTGAAAGCACTCTAGGTCCAAATATGTGGGAAATACAAAGGGATGACTCAAGGGATGGGGGAAAACAAACTAATTATTCTAGAACTGTCATATTAGTAGCAGAGTTATTAGTAGCTATCTCACCTTTGATTCTAGGACCTCAAATCTAGCACTCTCCCTAATATCAGATGAAATACTGATCACTGCAGTCAGAAGGAATTTCTGAGATAGTTTGTTCCCAAGAACTGAGAGGAGCACAGAAGCATATGAACCTAATCCGTCATGCTTCACCACATGGAACTCCATACCCTGACTGAACTTACCAGCAGTCCCCAGCTTCTGAACACCTGCTCTGTCCCGTCATTCTGTCCACACCTGTCCCATGGGCAATCCTCTAGCCTCCAGTACAGAGCAGCTTCTGAGTCCCTAGCTGGGACTAGGAAGTCCCACTGGGGAATGGGGAACTGTTTTCAAAGCAGCCTTGAGTAATCGTATAGGAAAAGGAGAAGCCAGCAGTGTGGAACAGTGGCATTAAGTACAGTCTTGCTCATGTATGACTACAAATGCTCTCTTGTAGAGGTCACTCTACCTAGGGGAAGCTGCTGCTGCTGCTGAGTGGACATCTAGACCTTTAGACAAATTGTATGACACATGGAGTTGGTGCTTTGTCTAATCTCTTGGAACTACAACTATGTCAGAAAGGCCAGATTATCTCTACACCTAAGTATCTCCAAGCTGGAAGACTGGACAGGGATTACTTGGAAATACGTATTGGCATTTGATTTTGTGGACTTGTTTGTATATTTCCTCCAGGGTGTCAGGCTCCAGATCAAATGTGTTCATGAGGTTTAAGACAACTGCTAAGGATGGCCTGTTGATGTGGAGAGGAGACAGCCCCATGAGACCCAACAGTGACTTCATTTCTTTGGGCCTTCGAGATGGAGCCTTGGTTTTCAGGTAACCTCCTCTGTTTTTCAGCAAAATCTTGAATTTTTCTCTCAAGCAGTACAGGTCATACCAAATGAAGCTAATTTAAAGTAAGCCAAAACACACTGCTGGAATTAGCTGGAGCCTGAACGTCCAGATTTATTTGAGTCTCCTTGTTTTTCTTTCTTTTTTATGAAATATTATTATGTTTTATGTAGTTGTACTAAGGAGTTGCATTTGACAACGCAGCTTCTGAATGCAGTGAGTCTTGATCCATGTCATCCCTTTTAACACTCTCTCCTTGTTTTTCCTTTAAACATCTTTTAGGGAGTTGTCTGGTACATTGCATCCTATAGAACAAATTTGGTCTGCTGCTTATCTCTGTAAATTACATTTGTTGGGATACTGCCATACCCATTTATGTCTTGTCTTTTGACCATGTGTACACAGTATTGACACATTCAGTAGGTTCATTAGGAGCTACTTGGTAAAGCCTAAGGTCTTTGCTGCTTGGTCCTCTGCAGAACAGTATAGAAACCCCATTCTATATACTACCATTGTATGTCCCCATTTACCAAGTAGGAAGAAGCCTGGTGCCAGTGGCTCATGCCTGTAATCCTACCTACTCAGAAGTTCAAAGCCAGCCTGGACAGGAAGGTCTGTAAGACTCTTCTCTCCAATTGACCACCAAAAAGCCAGAAGTGGAGTTGTGGCTCAAGTGGTAGAACTCTAGCCTTGAGTAATAAAGCTCAGGGACAGCGTCCAGACATTGAGTTCAAGTGCCAGAACCCGCAAGTACACATGCACATGCACACGCATACACACACACACACATGCGCGCGCACACACACACACACACACACACACACACACACGAATTATGAAGTAAAGGGAGAATTTTTAATATTGTCAACAACCATGAAAGCCAAACATGGAAGTGATGTCAACTCATGATGACCTGAAGGTCTAAGCCACAAGACCCTGCTTGAAATTCCATTTTGCTTTAAATTCCATTCCTCAGACTGCAGGACCTTGGGAAGGTCACTTTTTTTTGGGGGGGGGGTCCAGTTGTGGGGCTTAAACTCTGGGCCTGGGTGCTATCCCTCAGCTCTTCAGCTTTAAGGCTAGCGCTCTATCACTTGAGCCACAGCGCCACTTCCAGCTTTTTTTTCTGCTTATGTGGTGCTGAGGAATCGAACCCAGGGCCTCGTGCATGCTAGGCAAGCACTCTACCACTGAGCCAACTTCCCAGCCCAAGGTCACTTTTCAGTCAAGAAGATAAAAGCACAAAGTCATACATGAAAGATCAGATGTCCTAATACTTCTTGGGTAATCCCCTACAAAGGCGATCTAGAAGTTCTTACCTTTTGTAAATGAGTTTAGATTGCTCTCAAGTTTGACAAACAGGTGCTGCAAAGCAGTTAAATTATTACCTGGGCAATTTCTTCTCTCCACTTTTACTCTCTACCAGAATGGGTGGGAGCCAAGTCTCCAAGAGGCAGAAACTGTCTTGTGTGACAGAAACACTTCTCTCCCCAGAGACTGCCGCACAGCCTCATCTGAGGTTGGAAATGGCTCGTGGAGACCCAGGGTTTTCAAGCTGTAGCTCTGTACCACACTCCAAGGCCTTAGAAATGTAAATTAGCAGGCCTCACTCTTGGTCAGCGAGGGAGGTGTGCTGTGGGCATTTCCTCAGATGATCCAAGGGTGTGCAAAGGCCTTGAGGGCCTTGCTCTGTCTCTGGACCACCTGTCTCCTGGAGCAGCCATGTCTCAGGCTTTTTATTCCCTTGATGACCCCCAAGTGTGCACTAAGTGAAAAGACATGACTTCGAATTGGCATAGAAATAGGAGAGAGAGAACTGAGCTAGGGACATAATGAATTAATTCTGGGGCTTTTTTGCCAGTGAAATGTTAGGATCATTTATAGCTAGGAAAGAGGAGCATGAATCTTCAATTTGGAGAAAAGGCATTTTGAAAGGAAATGGCACTGGGCCAACACTGCACCTGCCCCGAAATAGCACGGCTTGCTACGTGATTAAGTCTTGTGATTGCGGGGACTTTGGGAGTGCTGTGTAGCTGAAGACTGGAGACCAGCAGGAGAGGGGTAACATCTCCCCGCCTCTGTCCTCTCCCTGACCTCTGTCCCCAACCCCTCCCGAGGTCAGAAGAAGTAGAGCTTTTCCAACTTGGGTCCGGCTGCTGCCTCAAAGCCATTTTCCTGTGGTTTTCCTGTGGTTAACCTCATCAAGGCCTCAAGTACTTGATTGTGCCCAGAAAAGGGAACTGAAACAGCAGCTGAGCCACGGGTGGGATGACCCAACTTCCCCCCTCAACTGAGCGCCAAAACTAATTCTTAGGCCTGACAAGAAACCATCCCCCCAGCCCCGCCCCCGCCCCGCCCCGCCCCCTCCCTCCAGCCCTGCCCCCGCCCCGCCCCAGCCCTGCCCCAGCCCCGCCCCATCCCGCCCCTCCCTCCAGCCCCGTCCCCCCCAGCCCCCAGCTCCGCCCCCTCCCCAGCCCCGCCCCGTCCCCGCCCCTCCCCAGCCCCGCCCCAGCCCCGCCCCGCCCCCAGCCCTGCCCAGCCCCGCCCCGCCCCTCCCTCCCGCCCCGCCCCAGCCCCCAGCTCCGCCCCCTCCCCAGCCCCGTCCCTCCCCAGCCCCGCCCCTCCCCAGCCCCGCCCCAGCCCTGCCCCGCTCCCAGCCCTGCCCAGCCCCGCCCCGCCCCTCCCTCCAGCCCCGCCCCAGCCCCGCCCCAGCCCCGCCCTCTCCCCAGCCCCGCCCCGCCCCAGCCCCCAGCTCCGCCCCCTCCCCGTCCCCGCCCCTCCCAGCCCCGCCCCCGCCCCAGCCCCAGCCCCGCCCCCATCCCGCCCCTCCCTCCAGCCCTGCCCCGCCCCAGCCCCCAGCTCCGCCCCCTCCCCAGCCCCGCCCCGCCCCCGCCCCTCCCCAGCCCCGCCCCAGCCCTGCCCAGCCCCGCCCCGCCCCCGCCCCAGCCCCGCCCCCCAGCTCTGCTTCCTCAGCCTACTCCAGCACCAAAGAGGAGCCCCTTCTGCCCGCCATTTTTTAACCCTTTCCTTCTCTTTTAATAGTTCTGCTCCATCCTAGACACATTTCTTAGATTACTATGTCTTTCTTGAGTCTCTGAAAATTGTCCTTATGCTTTTGCCCCCACATTATTATTGTTTTTATTGTTGTTATTAAATGGTTGTACAAAGAGGTTACAATTTTGTAAGTCAGGTTATAAATATAATGCTTCTTAGACAATGTCACCCCCTCCTCCCCTCAGGTTGCGTAGTTTACTTTTTACTTTTTTATTTTTTTTATTGTTATTATAAAGGTGATATACAGGGGGGAGTATAGTTGAGGAGGTGGGAGGGAAGGGATGGTAGGAGAAAAAGGAGGAGGCAACAATGCTTGATAAGAAATAGACTCATTACCTTAATCATGTAACTGTAACCCCTCTGCACAGTATTTTCACAATAAAGAACTTATTTTTAAATAGGTGATATACAGAGTGGTTGCGGTTACATAAGTTAGGCAATGAGCACATTTCTTTTTGGACAACGTCACCCCTTCCCTAGCTCTCTCCTGCTCCTACCCACCAGTTGTATAGTTAATTTTCAACATGGTGTCTAGTGAATACCACTGCTCATAGTTCATTTTTTACGTACTATACATTGAATGTAAGGACTGCATTTGCTCACCCTTTCTCCCTCCATTCACGTCCTCACCCTTCCTAAAACATATTTCATGTTTCCACTTTCTGCTATGTTTCCACTGTATTTTTTTGATAAACAGTACTTCATTTGTTCAAGGGAGTTATATCTTTGTATTCCTTCTCCAAATATACCTTCCTCTAATCAGTTTTATGATTTTTGTTCCCCCGCCCCTGCAAATCTCAGAGCATTGTTTGTGTTCTGCTTAAGACAGCCAGCTAAGTCCAGGCCCAGGCAGATTTGTGCTGGTGCCTGAGCCCCTTGCCATCTTTCCATAGCAGTGATGGGCCAGCCCAGAGACAAGAAAAAAAGTATGGTAGAGGCTGCTGGCTTGCAAATACCAATATACAGTGAGTCACCAGGGAAGTTGTTTCAAAGGTACATCGTTTGGCCTGTCCACCCTCACTCCAGGGTTATGATGGGGGTAGGAATGGGTTAGCACCAAGATCTCACTGGGACAAAAACATCCCAAATGATTCCAAGCACCACACCTTGAGACACAGTGGTTTGGGGCTTACTCAAGCCTGATCCTCATGGCTGTTCGATCTCATGCATGTTACCTAACCTCTCTGAGCTTCTGTTTCTTCATCTGTAAAAGGAAAGGTTGATTGTAAGAAGTAAATGAAGGACTCATATAAAAGGCTTCAGGTTACTGTTAGCAGTAATGAGAATAAAACTTAATTCATCTCAGTGTTTTCTGGATTCTAGAATTCCCTGATTGAGAGAGAGAACATAAGAAAGGAAGTTAGTGTGATTCAACTACTTTGAAAAGGTTAGTTCTCATCAGTGCTACTTTTCCCTATGCCTTGAGGGCTGGGTACGTGCTCTCCCAGGCGGAGATCAAGGGGGGATCAGGCAGGCTCTACTAGTGGAGGCAGGTCCAAAGCAAGCCAGGGAACTTCTAACATAACAAAGCACAGTCTCGCTTCCTAGACTGTCTTCCCTAAGTAAATGCTAGTCCTGATGCTAATTTAGAGCCCAAAGTCCTCTTTCTAAAGCACAGCAGAGAGCAGAACACCAAACAATTATTCATCGCTTTGGTACAAGGCTAAACAGAAAAAAAAAAAAAAAAGATAAGGGCTCAGCTAAAATGAATGTGGCTTTCTGCTTCATCTTCTGCTTTGCTTTGTTTTGTTCTATATTATATGTGGAACATAATACACACTGGGTGGATTTAGGAACATCAATTGACATTCTTTTTGACTAACATTTTTAGACAACAGAGAAAGGGAAGAGATTTGACATTAATATAATGCCCTGGACTACAGCATAAGGGACACAACTAAAAGTGTCACCACGTGGGACATGACGTGGCACTTCCTAGTGGCCCATCTTGGTGTTGTGTGACAACCTTTGGTGTGTTCCAAGCTGAGTGGCTCAGGACAGCCCATTCATTGTGCTCAGAGACACAGCATATTGGTAGAGAAACAAGACACGTGTTCATTCATTAAAAAAATGTTCGTGAAGCCATAACTATTATACATGGCACATTTACTCAATGGACACCTTGAAAAAAATTTAAAATATTCTGGGTGCTAGTAGCTCAAGCCTGTAATCCTATCTGCTCAGGAGGCTGAGATCTGAGGACCGTGGTTTGAGGCCAACCCAGGTAGGAAAGTCTATGTGACTCATCTCTATCACTTTGAGCTATGGCTCAAAGTGATAGAGCCCTAGCTTTGAGTGAAAACATTCAAGGACAGTGCCCAGGCCCCTAGTTCAAGCCCCATGACCAACAACAACAGCAACAAATAGATCTAAAATATGTGGGCACTGCCATCATTCCCAAAGTGGTTTCCTTATACCTCTTCCAGCACTGGTAACCACTCTTTCTTCCATTTACTTGTCTAGAAGAGGGAGCAGTGAGTGGAAGAGACTGGAGGAGGAGGTCGTTATTTGGAGAGTCTAAAGTCATAAGGTGGGGGTTGAAAAGTCAGGCTATGGAGATGCCATCTGAGCTGTCCCCAGCCCCAATGATGGCTGAATTCTAGCCTAACAGATTCCATGTTGACTCCCTCAAACCTGTTCTGCCCTTTGTGTGAAACAGGAGAGCTCTCAGGCTGCAGGATAGAAGGAGGCCCATGGTTGATCCACATGGGATCACGTACCTCTGCATAGGTTTCTAGTCACTGGGAGACAAGCCTGATCCTGTCCAGCCTCCTCCCTGTGACTCCCAGGTCACCTTGATTTGGTAACCTTGGAGTTCTTGAGCACTCTGGTTACATATTGACAGCCTGTAGGGCCACTTGCACATGTGGTCACTCTCCCAGAAGTAGCCTGCTAAATTAACTCTTGGTAGCAGCTTTCTCCTCCTAGGTCCTCAATGTGCACATTCAACCTGGCATACACGCTATACTAAATGCACATGGATTTGAGGTAGTGACTTTATTTTATTCCCATTCTGTATTGTATTATGTTATGTAACTTTGCTCGGGATCCTGCAGGGTTCTGGCTGGTATCTGACAGATGGGGAAATTTACACTCAGGGATGTAAAGCAAATTTCCCGTGTCACAGCCAATTGATGAGACTGAGGAGCCAGACAGGTTCATGAAACCCAAATGTCTATGCTCTGTTACCCATGATAGTTGCTCGGCTGTTTCTGCCAGCAAGCTCCTATTCATTCATTTCTTCAGTAAGTACTTGGCTACCACACAATGAAATGTGAAACATTCCACCTCGCAGCTGCTCTGCCCCAGCAGACACTTGTGGGAAAATGCTCGAGGAAACAGCAGAGTTTTCAGGGTCACAGTGGCAAGTTGGTCCCAGAGTTTGTCAAGTTGTCACAAATTCTATTGTTAGTTCAATGTTGATGGCTATATGATTTCTTTGAGCCTCTGAATGAAAGGAACAACCATCAGCCTTTCTCTGGGAAAAGCCAAGGGCTTTTTATTTTTGTTCTGTTCTCAAAACTGAGGCATGTGAGCACTCCAGAACAATCTGGCTTTCCTCATAAGCATTCTTATTTCTTGGACAAGGAGGTGAAGGAGAGGCCCCTCCCCTCACTAGATGAGCACATTGGTCCCAGTGGAACACACTTTGGTCAGAAAATGATTCCTTGTGCCTTATTAATTATCCAGGAAAAGTCTGGGCAATTGGCCCAGTGCCCAGGCGTGAGTAGTCACTCACTAAATATTTTCTGGATTGAATTAAATTAGAATAATTGAATGAATACTGGATTAAGAAGGGTATTTCTCTCTGGTAAATAACATGTTTATGTCTTCTGATACCTTTAGGGTTTCATGGCATCTGGGAACTGAAATGGAAAATTGGAAAGTACTAGGTAGATCTGATATCAGAGTAAAATTGTTTTATTACAGGTAATACAGAAAGTTCAAGCTCTACATATTAGCTTTGTGGTTTTAGGCAAATCCTTTTAATGTCTTCTTGGTTCAGCCTATTCTGCAATGATTTAAAAAAATAAGTTAGCTGGGCATGGGTGGCCCATACTTGTAATCCCAGCTACTCAGGAGGCTGAGATCTGAGCATCAGGGTTCAAAGCCAGCCTGGGCAGGAAAGTCCGTGAGACTCTTATCTCTACCTCCAGAAAAGCAGAAGTAGATATGTGACTCAAAGTGGTACAGCACTAGCCTTGAGCAAAAATGCTCTGGGACAGCACCCTGGCCCTGAGTTCCAGCCCCATGATGGACCAAAAAAAAAAAAAGTTAATCAGACACTGGTGGCTTACATCTACAATCCTAGCTATACTAAATGCTACATCTTAGGAGACTGAAATGCGAAAATCAAGGTTCAAAGCCAGCCTGGACAGACAAATCCATAAGACTCTTATCTTCCAATAACCACTGATGTAACAAATTACCACAAATGGAAGGACTTAAAACAGTAGAAGAGGCAAAACATTCAAACTACAGCATGTGGCCAGCAATGCTTCTTTTCCAGGGCCTGAGAGGGAGATTCTGTTCCATGACTGGCCACTGTTACTCAGTTAGGGGTTACTGGGTATCTTCACAGTCCTTGGGGGTCACTTAGCTTGTATTCATCATTCCCCTCTCTGCCATCATGGTCACATAGCCTCTCCCCATGTGTTTCCAGCTCTGTGTTCTAATCTCTTCTTATATGGATATCAGCCATGTTGAATTTGGCAGTCCTGAACCGTGATGACTGACCTCATCTTAGCTAATTACATCAGACCCTGTTTCCAAACAAGGTTGTATTTTTAGGTTCTGAGTGAACATGAATTTTGTGGGGGGACACTCTTCAACACAGTATGACTTTAGAAATGATAAAAAAAAAAAAAAACCTTCTCTTGTTCCTGACTTTACAGAGCTGATGCTTCCATGTATGAACTGAACATAAGCCAGTCACAAAAAAAAGACAAATATTTCATGCTTGGGAATCAGTAGTAGTTAAAGCCATAGACACAGAGAATGGAAGGCTGGTTGTCAGGGGCTAGGAGGGGGTGTGCTAAAGGGTAGTTACTGTTTAATGCATACAGTGTGTTTTACTTAGCAAGGTGGAATGAGTTCTGGAGGTTGGTTGTACAACAATGAAAAGTACTTAACCCTTCTGAACTGTCCATGGTGAAGACTGAAAATTGAACATTGAAAATTTAAAAGCCATCATTCATGTGCTAACATGGAAACTGACCACCTTTTGTGTTTCAGTGCAATCAAGGACACTTCATTCTATGTTTACAAGAACCTTTGCTATCTGCCTGCACCTCAGTGCTTATTATGATTTCGGTCTTGTTCTTTTCTAACGTCTTTAGCTACAACCTGGGCAGTGGTGTGGCATCCATCATGGTGAATGGCTCCTTCAATGATGGCCGGTGGCACCGAGTCAAAGCGGTCAGGTAAGCACTGAGCACCTCAGGATGCAGAGGAGCCCGTGAGGAGAGCGGCATGTGGTGTCTAAGTCCCTTTCCATTCCCCTGTCCTATTCCCAGATTCCCTTGCCTCCTCATATTCCTGACCCAGGGTATTCAGCCCATTTGCTGCTAAGTCCCACCTGTGACCTCACGGACACTGACAGCTAGAAACCAAATCCTCACATCTGCCCTGAGCCGTGGATAAGCTCCCGGGGAAAAATATGTTGTATTGTTATTTTGTGTGTGTGTCTCTTTTTTTTCCCTAGTACCAGGACTTGAACTCAAAGCCTCTTGTTCTTGCTTGTCTTCAGCCATACCTCTATTCCTTGCATTTTGCTGATTAATTGGAGATGGATCCTCACTGACTTTTCTTCCTGGGCTGGCTTTGAACCACAATCTAGATCTTAGCTTCCTGAGTAGCTAGGATTATGTACATGGGCCATGGGCACCTAGCTGGAGAAAAATGTTTTTGATGACTGTGTTGGAGAAGGGCCTCAAAATCCACTGATGGGGTTTCAGGACATGAGGACTCTGAAGAGTACCCTACAACTTTTTCTTCCTTCCTTCTTTCTTTACTTTCTTTCTTCTTTCTCTCTTTCCTTCCTTCTTTTTCTTTCTTTTTCCGACTCTTTCTCTTTTTCTCTTTCCCTTTTTCCTCCCTTCCTTCACTCGCTCCCTCCTTTCTTTTCCTTCCTTCTTCCTGGCTTTTTTCCAAACATTACCTGAACCCTACAAGCCATGTAAAGTTTACCTCTCCTCAGTTAACATAGCTCCCCACCCAGCACTAATTACTATCTTGGTTCTGATTAACCTTGGGCAGAACATTCCTTTGCTCTTCTTTAGAATTTAACCATCTGTGTTCTTATTCCTGACAATATATTTTCAGAAACCAAATAGCAAGTCTAAACTTGCTATAGTACACGTTGGAAACTCAATTAGATAGAGATTCTACTTAAATTTCCCTAAAGATTACAACAATCCCTTCTGTGGGTGAAGTTAGGGTGAGGCCTGGGACATAGGGGGCCCGCTCCCATAGGGCTATGGGTGGACACAGGCCTGCTTGGTGCTGCGCTTGGCCACTGTGCCTGTATTGAATATCTTAGAGGAGATATGAAGGAGAAAAAGCACACTTGCACCTTTCTGTTACCTGTGGCCTTGAAAACCCCCAAATGGGACTTTGATGAAGCCTCAACTCTAGCTTGTTTATTTATTATTATTTTTTTAATCAGTCGTGGGGCTTGAACTCTGGGCTTGGGCCTGTCCCTGCACTCTTTAGCTCAAGGTGAGTGCTCTACTGCTTGAGCCACAGCTCCACGTCTGTTTTTATATTTAATTGTGAAAATACTGTACAGAGGGGTTACAATTACATGGTCAAGATAATGAGTACATTTCTTATCAAGCATTGTAGCCTCCTCCTTTGTTTCCCCTTCCATCCCTTTCCATCCCTTTCCATCCCCCCACCGCCCCCCCCCCGTTCCCCCACCCAATCCTCTTCCCCTCCCCCCACCAAAGTTGTAAGGTTAGTTTTCGACATAACGACTTGTACATCTCATTGTGGCAATGGGTCCACCTGTATCCCTATTTAAACGATTTGGTTTTTTCCCTTTCCCTCCACAAATTATACCGACATCAAATACAGTGAAAGCAGGGGTTATGGTTTTCTAGTGGTTAATTGGAGATAAGAGTCTCATGGACATTCCTGCCCAGGCTGGCTTTGAACTATGATCCTCAGATCTCAGCCTCCTGAGTAGCTAGGATTACAGGCTTGAGCCACCGGTACCCGGCTTTATAGTTTGTTTCAAAAGAAGAAATATGTTTCCATAATGAAATATTTACAGATTTGGAGCTCAAATTTATTTCAGAATACAAGTAAAAAAGCACAGAGTCCAAATCATCCCAAAATACTGCAAACCACTTGGCTTCCCACACTCCATCCGTATAGTCCCTGCCCTCAGATCATCCAAACCAAACACCCTGCCCTCAGTTTCCTTGGGTAGAGATGGGGACTCGAACACTCACATGCTATGAGTAGATTTTTTAACACTTTAAAACATTGTGGTTTGGTTACACTTATGAAGATATCCAAGAGATATCTAGACCGAGGAAAGAGGTGTTCAATGTCTTTCCCAATATACTGTGTAGGCAGAGCCTAGATCAACCTTTCTGTTCCATTTCATGACACAGGTCTCACCTAATGAAGATTTCAGGTGTATGGGGAGGACAGGGTTGTACGGAATGTCAGAACTTCTGAAGTCAGAGCATTAAGCTTAGTCCAAAGAGAAGGCTCCACGGACATAGCTCTTCCTGTTGATCACATTCCTAGTGGATCTTAGGTTACAGTGAGGGCAACATGGAGCTGAGCCCAGGACTGGACAGGCGAGAGGATTCAAGCAGATATTGTAAGCCGTGAATAGTTAGACCTAAAAGCAATGGGTACAACAGATATAACAGGGAACTGGGCCAAAATCATAGCTCAACAAGTGTAAGAAGAGTGCAGTATAATTCTCTGTGGCACGCTCCAAGATCAGAGGTAGGAGAGCCAAATGAAGGGGAGATATCCAAGGGTGGCCCGCTTTGTATATTATCTTGCTCCAGGTAGTCCTAATCTTGAGAGCATTACTCCTAGTAGAATAGGGAAATTTTCTCATTTACAAACATGTCATGCCAGATACTTTTCCCACTGTGCTTTATCCTCATTAATATTCACAACAATTGAGGTGTTATAATTTTATAATTGTGGTGGATAAAATAGGTCTGGTGATGTTGATAACAATAGCAATATATTTCTTTGACAGTCTTTATAGAGCAAGATATGTATCAGGTGCCACGCTCTGTGCTTTGCAGGTATAATATCTGATCTCTGATCTCCACAATAGTGTTGGAAGATGGCCATAGTTATTCTCACTTCAGATAAAGGTGTTGAAACTCCAGACATTACTCAAGTCACATGAATTACATCCTTGAGAATAACTGACATCCTTACCTGATGGTCTTGCATTCATTGGGAGGCCACAAACCATAAGTAATCAACATGATAAGAATTATAGTAGGTCAAGTGTGAGGAAGTGGTACCTCATCTAAGGTATCATTGATTAGAAGACATGTCTTCAGAAATACAAGGTAAGAGAAGATGATCAAAATTGGTGGAATTGAGTCAGGGGGGCGATAATGTAACATTTAGAATAATGAACAATCAGAACTGGCAAGCTAAGCTGCTGGGGTTGTCACCTGTCACATCAGCATGTGGTGTCATAGGAGAGGACAGAGCAGGGGAAAGCTTTCTAAGTCTCAGTGTTAGAAGGTTGCTCTCGTGTAAGGCCTTTGTCAGACCTCTATCCACCAGGACTATAGAAGCTACTCTTTAAGTTTTGGTTTAAATAATCCCATTGTTAGGGCAGAACCTGACACATAGTTGGTACTTATATATATTGAGGTGTTGTATCAGCTTTGCGGCTGTGTAGAGGAACGGATGTGATTTCTCAGTCCACTAAAGAAAAGACAGCGAGGCTCGATGAGCCTTCTAGTTACTCAAGAGCTTGAGATCTTGAGGATTGCAGTTCAAAGCCAGCCCAGGCAGGAAAATCCACGAAACTCTAACCACCAAAAAAAAAAAAAATCTAGAAGTGGAGCTGTGGCTCTAGTGGTAGAGCTCTAGACTGAGCTCAATAGCTCAGAGGCCTTGCCCACACTCTGAATTCAAAACCCCAGGACCAGTGGATGTGCGCGCGCACACACACACACACACACACACACACACACACACGTGAATATACACACGAATTATAAGGCAGGAAAATGTTTAAACAGAGTAAGTTTATTTGAAAGTGAAGGAAGGCAATTAAAGAAAGTAGCACAGCTGTCCATCCATCCTTAGAAGTGCCCAAAAAGGAATCAAATAGAGTCCTCCGCTAGGCTTTGTACTGGTGGTTTGAAGAAGCATTTGAGTGGAAAGTCACAACATTATGAGAAGAGCATTTGAGCAGATGCCCAAGACATTATGGGAACAAAAAGCACCATGATGAGCCGCATGTTACCTTCTCTGTGTTAGAGAAGCCAGCTTCTATCCGTATCTACCCGACAGTTGCCCTTGGTCTCACTCAGCTCCAAAAATAATCATTTTTTTAAATTCATTACAGAGATGGCCAATCAGGGAAGATCACAGTGGATGACTATGGAGCCAGAACGGGGAAGTCACCGGGCATGATGAGACAGCTGAATATCAATGGGCCTCTGTATGTGGGTAAGTGACCTTGGCCCAGTCTAAATTAGACTAGGGTTTTCCGTGGTAGTTCTTTATTTGTTGCGCAAGGGCTGTGCATTATGGGTTCATTCAAATACCTGGAAATCAGGAAAGTGTCCAGATAGTCCATTCTTCCATTTTCTGACTTCTGACTCACAGCCAAAGGGACAGGAAGGGGCTCATTCACATATTTTTGTGCTTTGGACCTACCCACCAGGAAAACTATGCTATTCTTGTTTATAGAACAAGAATCTTCTAAATATAGCCACACATTCTCTCTGAAAAAGGAAGATCTGTCTTTCTAGCCTTTCTCAGAATACAATGAGTAGTTTGTCTATAAATGGCTTCTCACCTACTAATATAGACGTATAAACATGACAAGATAACTACCTTCTATAGTTTCTAAATGTGAACCTAATTGAAAGCAGCCACCCTCAGTGTATTTCTTGTGATTGAAGATGACATCACCTCTAATGACATAGTATGATGTTGATATCATACAACATTTCAAATTTTTATAAGGGTCTTTGGGGCCAGAAATCACACATGAGGTATGTTTTCATAACCTTTTGCCGTTTATCAAATTCATCCACGTCAACCTATTCCTTCGGGGAAAATTATAAAACAGATGTAATGAAGTGAGCGGTTTCTTTTTGTCAGCCACGGGATGCCTTGGCTGGTGAACATTCAAATTCTCCTCGGACACTTCTTCTCTGGTTCACTCCACCTGTTTGCTTCCTGGCAGGTGGCATGAAGGAAATTGCTCTGCACACCAACAGGCAGTACATGCGAGGCCTTGTGGGCTGCATCTCTCATTTCACCCTGTCCACCGATTACCACATTTCCCTCGTGGAAGATGCTGCAGATGGAAAAAACATCAACACCTGTGGCGCCAAGTAACAGCAGTTGTCCTTGCACAAGGAACAGAGCCTCTCAGCATCACGGGGCCCTGAGACACAGCCTGACGCCTCACACAGAGGCCTGGAGACCAGATGTGTTTCCTCTCCTCAAGAAGAAAGTACACGCTGATGGAAACCGAGAACCAAGATGGAGGCCTTCGGTGGCCTTTCCTGCTGACACTGTGGGTCACACCACGGGGATACTCCGTGTAGGAAGTGTCAGGCTTTAGCTATTGAATGTGTAGAATCTTCCAGAGATCACACGTGAATGTGAATTCCACAGCCTGTCTGTTGTAGTTCAATGACTGTGTTGTGACTCAGAAAGAGAGAGAATGAGGGAGAGAGAACTTTATAAAGCAGTATTAGGCTACATCTCTCCTTCCCTGACCTATGACACTATTACAACAGAATGACTGTGTGTGACCTTGAATTTCAGATTTCCCACCTTGGCCCATGGATTGTTCAAATTAACTGTTTCTATGCCTCACTGTCTGGCTTAATGTGCTCTGGACTATTCATGAAAATAAAGGTTGGGGGAGATTAAACCTGTAATCATATTGTGGCCCACTTCCCCATAACTTACCTTTATTGCAAAAATCCCCACTTTTCTTTTTATAAATGCAAATCTAAAAAAAAAAAAATGGGTTCCTTGATTTTGTAGCTGTACTTTTCTATGTGTATATTTTTTATAGCTGCAGACTGCCCAAACAATATACTTTTGGAAGTTAGGGTGGATGATCCTAATTCTTGGACATTTTTTTCTAAAACTTTTCTCCCAGAGACTGGTGTGGGCCATTTGTGGTGTCAGTGAGTGGTGGAGATGCTTTGGGCAGGACATTGGGGGAGCTGACCATTCTTTTGCAGTACATATTGGTGACTTGAGGGGATGAATTTGAAACAGTAAAATGAGCAGACTAAGAGAATGTGAGACACTGTCATTTTGTTTTAAGAGGAGAATGTCTGTAATAAACCTGAATAAAGACGATAAAGAAGGCAAGAACTCATTCATTCATTCATTCATTCATGGAGATGCTTTTACAGATGCTGCATCCACAAGTGGACTTTACAAGGCTGGGCAGAGACTGGGGTCCAAAGGTCTTAACGAGAATCTGAGAAAGGGAACGTCTTTCTTCGGTTCCATCAGCTGTGCCCCTTTGCTATGCATGCACGTGACCTGTACAGACAGCTGGCTCACTGGCAGGTCCCCATGACAGGACTTGCGAAGAGAAAGGTGAGATGAACGCTGCCCCCAAAGAGGAAATTGGATCCAGCTCAGGCAAAAGCCTATAATTAGGCCTCTTGCTTGTGCAGCATTCATTCAGTGAAGACTTGAGAGCTTTAGCAAAGCATAGCTTTAAGCATGTGAAGGCTTTCAGCTGAGGAATAGACAATAGATAATTTTCCCCTGTGCCCCAAATTTCTGCCTCTGTCTTCAGAAGCATTTGGTGATCCAGATCTTTCCTACCAAAGGAAACCAGGAAGCTTTCCAAATACTCCATTCATCCAATAACAGTGATAACAACAATCCTCCCACTCTGTGCATATTATTAGCTGGTCAGTGCAATCTGGAGAGAAGTCCCGTGTAGAAAGCCCTGCCCCCTCCCGGACACCCTCACCTCAACACCTTTCCCTCAGAGAGTGCCAAAGCCAATGATTTGGAAGATATAATGGAGTTGCTCCTACAGTCAGTTTTGAATGGATTGCTTCCAGACTTGGGAAATTCATGGTGATTTTAGCAAAATCTCCAGCTCAATTCAGGCCAAAGAGTTGCCTTGCAGATGAACTGTTGTTCCATGCAAGTGCTATCCAGAGAAAAAGGCAATGACCCGGGGATGAGGGCCCAGGAGGAAATGAAGCCCAAATGGATTGGAAAGCAGTCAGGGCTACAGGAAGAGGGCAGCACAGTGCCGTTTCTGCAGGTGACATGGACACAGAGTAGAGAGACTCAGTAACAAGAAGGGCTGAGGGCTGGAGTGTAGAGAGTGATGCTCTTTTGCCCTCTCTGTGGATAATACCCAGGAAATAGGGCAGGGGTAGCAAAGAGGATAAAATCTTTAGCTTTAAACTGAGAGATTAGACCTTAGTACGCATGGGCAGGAGAGCCTGGAATTGTGGGTATCTCCATTTTCTCTCCAAGTGTATCAGTTATCTTTAGTCCCAATTATGCTGCTCTGTACCCTCCGTGACACACAGCAGGAAGTGTTTATGGCCTGTGTGCTTTGAGTGACCAGCTTGGCAGCTCTGCTGTTCTCAGTGAGATTGACTAGGGGCTTCTTCTGGTCTCAGTGGGCCTGGCTTACTTGTGGAGGGGTTGCTGATGTCAGTGGGCCTTGGCTAGGACGGTGGTAAGGAAAGATGACTGGAGCCTGCTTCATCCTTCTCCTGGGAGCTGCGAGGTAATGGTGAGCCAGCATTTCCATGACAATAAAGAAGGGCAGGGTATGAGAGTAAGATGTAGCTCAAGTCTGAAACTGAAATACCATGTGGCACTTCAGCCACATCCTTTGAGTCAGTCTATAGACTGACTCCACCTCCAAAGCAAATCTGGGATTGCTTTCCACCTCAAGAAGCTCTACTAAGGCACATGATACAGAAACAGGGAGGGGTATTGAAACAAGGCCGTGAACACAACCAGTCTACCATCGCATATTGTGTGGTTAAGATGTGGTGCAGTAGGGACTCATGGCTTCCTGACCACAGATCTGCTGCAGCTCACCTGGAGTGTGATTTGAGAAGTTCTTGGCAACTCGCCAGGCCCAATGGCAACAGTGCTAGTCTCTCTCCAAGTCCTAACCCCTTCCTTTCATCCCCCCTCATACATCTTTCCTTCTACCTCTTGTCTGACCTTGGACAGCCATATTGTACTGAGGAGGCCTTGGTCTGGGGGCAGCTGCCATCTGAGAAGTGGAGCAGGCTGGCTGCGCTCTTGGCTTTGGCCAGGGAGAAAAGTCTGGAGAAGAGCCAAGGTACTCCGAGGTTAATTCAGTTCCTATGCTGTAGAAGGTTATCTGAGGCCTGATCCCTGAAAAACATTTGTCCTACAACCAGGATCTGAGGAAAGTCCCCAGAATGTCCCACGGGTTCTAAACAAGGTTGACAGGGGTGAGAGGTACAGGCAAAGCGATACCATCATCCCTGCCCTGTTAAGATGGATGTTCTCAACCTTCTATGCTTCCTCTATGCCCACCCTGGAGAGCTCCCTCAGGCCAGACTGTGGGGGCTTCTTTGTCCCTTACACTGCCCCCAGTAGCTTCCTCAGCTCTGTCTGCCACCACTCTGATGGCTGCCCTCTTATTTGCCTTTCATTTCCTGACCAGTCCAGTTGTCGTCTAGGCTGTTCCAACACAAACAGGACTGCTGGTTTTCATACCCACGCCCGGACTTCACCTTAACTGATGCCTTCCTTCCCACTTCCCTCCTCTCCTTTCCTCCACCTCCTCCCTGCTCCCCCTTGAGGGGCGCTGCCTCCTCCCTGAGTGGGAGGAAGGATCTCGGAAATGTGCCCAGAGCTGGCAAGCCCAGTCCTTTCCACTTGGAGGAAATGCTGCATTTTTCACCTTTAACCCAGAAAAAATACGGTTCTCAGAAAGTTTGTTTTTAGCACTGTGAGTTCCCAAAGGGAGACAAATAGGGATTAGGAGGGGCCCCTAGTCTCTCCTTGCAGCAGCCTGATTGCCAACCCCTCCCCCACCACACACACACACACACACACACACACACACACACACACACACACACACACACACACACACACACACACACACACACACACACACACACACACACAGAGCAAGCTGCTCTTCCTAGGAGGGAATTGCCCAGGGGTGGCCTACAGCCTAAGGAGGCCCAGTTGCTAGGGAAATAAAGGCAGAGAATTCTAGTTCCAAGTGGAGAGGCTTTAGGAGCATGGCCTGGAAAAAGCATTAGCTGCTTCCCATTCTCTTCCCTGCTTTCCCCAACTTCTGCCCAGCCCAGGAAGCTGACAGGGGAGGTGTTGTGTGGGGAGGGGGGAGGGGTTCCTAAAAGCAATGGAGGAGGCACAACCCCTGCACTGAGAAAAGAAGACGTTTAAAAGTACTTCAGGTCATTTGCCCTGAGGAAGCCTCGGGGAAGGGGGTGGGAAAAGTGGGGGAGAGTAGGCAGGGCATCGGGAACAAAACTAGAATCTCACACAAAGTATATATGCTGCTTCAGCCCTCTTCCACAGTTAGCTCATCCTCTAGAAGCTGTGCATCCTTCGAGTGTATCATAACTGGGTGCATAGACTACATGAACTTCAAAGATGAGGACTCCAGACAGCTCTGCCTGGACTATGGGAAGCCCTAAGACACCAAGCCTGGAGGCATTTACGTTTGTGGTCCTCTGTGGAGATCACCTGGCCTGTCCTTAAGAAATTCCAAATTATCAGTGACCACACTCAGGCCAGCAAAGTTGACTACACCAATTCAACAGCATACACTGCCTCCTGGGTTAGACCTTCTGAATGATCAAAACTCATGTAGAAGGATATTTGATCTTAAAGCCCTCCTAGGAGGGCCAGAGCAGATGGTCAGGGTCTGACTTGCAAAGACAAAAGCTGTGCAGAAAGGCAGTCTACCCGGTATGCCACCATGCTGCGGCACTGGGGAGCTGCATCCGGGAACTTCCCTACTCCTTAATCTGACCTTCAGTCAGTGTTGACCTGCTCAAGGACTAAGGATTACCAAGCGCAAGTCTGAGGTTCACTTGGGTCAGATGGCCTGGTGATGTAGCTATGTAGGTGGAGGGGGGAGCGGGGTGGTGGGGGGTGATTGGGCAGAGACTGGTCCCCAAAGTCTGCTTGGCTGGTAGTTACTCTAGCTCTCATGAGGCAGACATCTTCTAAAACCTCTTCCAAAATATCAGAGAACTTTGGCATGAGCAGATCTGGAAGTATAAATCAGAACTATTCCACAGAGTGGGTTTCAGCCCCTCCACAGGCCCATGGGCCTGGATAGAATTCTTTTCCCTTGGACTCTACCAATAAGCTTCAGCACCCAGGGGAGTTGCTGCAATATATTTCAGGCCAGTGGTGCCCTCCCTGGACTCCTGCTGAGCCCCAGCCAAACCATGAGCTGAAAGAGCAGGACAAACAGCAGGCAAAACCTCGCCAGGTCTTCTCTCTCTGTCTTTTCCTTGCTGGGACATCTTTATCCTGGAAAGTGTGTGCTCCCAGGAGCACTTGCTGTTTTCCTGGAAAGACAAGGGAGGAACATCCTGTCTTAGCATCTGGAGGCAGTCTCTTTATTTATCTTCTGCTTTGCTTCAGATGCAAATGGTGTAAAAAGCACCAAGATTTCCCACTCTGTGGTGTGGCCTCTCTCAGCTGGTGTCCTGGCTGCCATGTCCTGGTGGACAGCCGGGTACCAAGGGGCTGCAGCCTGGCCTTGGCTATGAGAAGACGAGGATTAGAATGTCTTGAAAAAGGAAGGCGAGGGAGGCTCAAGGAATTTGTCATTTATACTTATTTAATGAGAAAAGTACAAGGCACCAGGCCAGTGGATTAGCTGAGGAAAGCCCTGTTAGGAAGTTGGCTGAAGGAAAGCAGAGGCAGAGAGAATGCACTATTAGCT